GTATTGTAAATAAAATAGAAGGCATACAAAATCCAACGTTAACAGCCAAGGCAGGTCAAGCTTACCCCAAAAAGATTCTATTACTGAATTGATTATTTGAAAAAATGAATCCGTTAGTCGTTCCCGTAACTAGTGTCAAATTTAAATCGGCATTCCTCTATGCTGAATGTAGCCTGAATTTCATCCGATTACTTCGAGTCGTTATTACTCCCTCAGTTGTTGAGAGGAGAAAACGACTCGAAGCAATCTAATGAATTTCAGGCTATGCCGAATGAGGAGTGAATATTTTGAGAGAACTTCTCTGCATTTGGTCAGATTGAAAATCTTTGAATGGATTAAATGTCTTAGAAGACATTTACATCAAACTCAGGGAAACTGAGCTGGTAGAAATTTCGTAACTGAATCGCGTGTGAATTCACGGCTCATTACGCATGCAAGAATGCCCATAGAGATGAATCTGAAATCTACAACTACCAACGGTTGAACTTTCGAATAATAAGTAGGATCTTAGGAGGTACGCTTGACCTGGCTTCACTGTAATCAGAGATCTTATATCTGGATTTTTGGGTGGACATTGCGTGAAGATGTTCAGCTAGCCTGTGCACAGACGCCATGCAAAGCTATTTTTCGACCTACATGTGCCTTTTCAACTGTCAGCGAAAGAACAAAAAAATAATTTATGCAAATGTTTACCGGAACACGATTAACGACGGCGATTCACAGACGTCTCCTCTCCCGATTTTTTTCCTGAGGGAGGGGGGACGTCTGTACACAGGCTAGTAAGGTGTTTTTCATAATTTAAAATAAAGTGATGGAAAAATCCTCTTCTGTTAAACTCAAACAATGCAGCATTGCTTCGATATTATGCTGAATTTAAGCATTGTTAGTTAAGTAAGTGCAAGAAATGTTTTGAGTTTTCCCTTTTTGGCATCTGCCAAAAATTTTGTGGCCCCTTAATGGGAGTGGCCCTCTCGTACAAGAGGTCTTACTACATGGTATAGTGCTTGGAAAAGCACTTGACTTTGTATTTTTGTGTCTAAGATAGGGATCTTTTACAACAGGTCCCTGTGGAAGGGGGTGTACATATGTCCCTGGTCTGCATTTCAAAACCTGTTGTTTTTTTATATTTTATAGTGTTGTTTAGATTCTCTCTGAGTTTTGTCACTGTTACAATTTCAGCTGATGTTTGTATTGTTTGTTGCCATTTCGTCTGCCTTGTGTTGCTGTCGCAGTAGCATGTCACTTGTCAGAATTTTACCATTAGCGAGGTTGTTGCAAATGAAAGTTCCAATGCTTATAAATTAATTTATGCAATGAATAAATAAATTTATCAGGGAAAAATTTTAATAAGTTCGTTATTAAGCTACAGGTGTTAGATAATATGAAACCAAACAAGAACTTAAGACATAGCAGAAGTTTTATTCTCAGGCTACTAAAAATAAATTGTTAATAATTTTTGTGCTTTACTTTTTGACTATAGCCAGCCAAAATGGGTACGCTTATGGGTGTGTACCTTCCTACAATCCAGAACATCTTTGGTGTAATCCTGTTTATACGTTTATTCAGCGCCGGAGAGATTAGGAAACAAGAGCTTCAAAGAGGTTTTGGTTCCCGGGAACGCGGGAAATCTAGCATTATATGAGGTATTTTAAAACTTTGTTGATATTGTCAATTAAATCTTGAGAGTTTTCTGGTTTAGAGCGTCTTTAACTTCATTACGCAAGTACACTGTTCATTTTATAATACTTTCGATCTCTCTTTTGTGCAGGATGAAATTCAAAGACGACCGAGGATTTCGACGCTGCTCGAGAGTTTATCAAGATACGAAGCTGTGGCTCCTACTCAAGAAGACGATGAAGAAGGAGCTGAAGCAAAAACTGCGACAGCCTCTCAGGTAAAAATGAAAATAAAAAGCCCATATTACTTTGAACAAAGCGGAGTCTAGTGATCACTTTGTGTACATTTCGGTCAAGATTATGCAAATTGTTCTTTGAAAATGGCGTAAATAATAGATAAGGTTAAAAGTTCACGACGCGGCGTAGGATTAAATATAAACTAAATTCGCTTACATTAAAGTAAATAAACATTCCCGTCAAAATATTTCAATGAAGTCTGAGGGTCGCAGCGAGAGCGTTCTCATTAAGTAAATTTGTGATTAAACAAATAAGTTTAAATGAGCTTCTTCTAAACTAAAGCTCTGTTTTGTCTATATGACAATTGAAGGTGTCTACACTAACAATCGCAAACAGTTTTATTCGTGTTCCTTCCTCAGTCGATCATGCTTTGTAGAAACATTGCCTTTGCTTCTCTCAATAAATCATTTAAATTAGAATCTTGAACACTTTCATATTTTTTGAGAAAAATATTGTAAATTGGTAAGGTGTTAGCCTGTGTACAGACGTCCCCCCTCCCTCAGCAAAAATCGTGGGAGGAGACGTCTGTGAATCGCCGACGATAATCGTGTTCCCGTTTCCCCGGAATGTTGGGGACAGCCTCTGATTGGTTGTAATGTGAATGCCATGACGCAAATAGTTTCCGGTGTTGTGATCGGTGAATGAACCTCAGAATAGATTCCCCGAGGACAAGCTCAGCCTTTGTGGATATTTGTTTACCGGTATTTGTATTTCGGCTTTCTCGTAAAGGCATGAGAAGTTAAGACCACCGATGTTTGCTGCACCAGTTGCGGATGCTTCTGTCTGTACTGGTCGGTATTGTAAATAAAATAGAAGGCATACAAAATCCAACGTTAAGAGCCAAGGCAGGTCAAGCTTACCCCAAAAAGATTCTATTACTGAATTGATTATTTGAAAAAATGAATCCGTTAGTCGTTCCCGTAACTAGTGTCAAATTTAAATCGGCATTCCTCTATGCTGAATGTAGCCTGAATTTCATCCGATTACTTCGAGTCGTTATTACTCCCTCAGTTGTTGAGAGGAGAAAACGACTCGAAGCAATCTAATGAATTTCAGGCTATGCCGAATGAGGAGTGAATATTTTGAGAGAACTTCTCTGCATTTGGTCAGATTGAAAATCTTTGAATGGATTAAATGTCTTAGAAGACATTTACATCAAACTCAGGGAAACTGAGCTGGTAGAAATTTCGTAACTGAATCGCGTGTGAATTCACGGCTCATTACGCATGCAAGAATGCCCATAGAGATGAATCTGAAATCTACAACTACCAACGGTTGAACTTTCGAATAATAAGTAGGATCTTAGGAGGTACGCTTGACCTGGCTTCACTGTAATCAGAGATCTTATATCTGGATTTTTGGGTGGACATTGCGTGAAGATGTTCAGCTAGCCTGTGCACAGACGCCATGCAAAGCTATTTTTCGACCTACATGTGCCTTTTCAACTGTCAGCGAAAGAACAAAAAAATAATTTATGCAAATGTTTACCGGAACACGATTAACGACGGCGATTCACAGACGTCTCCTCTCCCGATTTTTTTCCTGAGGGAGGGGGGACGTCTGTACACAGGCTAGTAAGGTGTTTTTCATAATTTAAAATAAAGTGATGGAAAAATCCTCTTCTGTTAAACTCAAACAATGCAGCATTGCTTCGATATTATGCTGAATTTAAGCATTGTTAGTTAAGTAAGTGCAAGAAATGTTTTGAGTTTTCCCTTTTTGGCATCTGCCAAAAATTTTGTGGCCCCTTAATGGGAGTGGCCCTCTCGTACAAGAGGTCTTACTACATGGTATAGTGCTTGGAAAAGCACTTGACTTTGTATTTTTGTGTCTAAGATAGGGATCTTTTACAACAGGTCCCTGTGGAAGGGGGTGTACATATGTCCCTGGTCTGCATTTCAAAACCTGTTGTTTTTTTATATTTTATAGTGTTGTTTAGATTCTCTCTGAGTTTTGTCACTGTTACAATTTCAGCTGATGTTTGTATTGTTTGTTGCCATTTCGTCTGCCTTGTGTTGCTGTCGCAGTAGCATGTCACTTGTCAGAATTTTACCATTAGCGAGGTTGTTGCAAATGAAAGTTCCAATGCTTATAAATTAATTTATGCAATGAATAAATAAATTTATCAGGGAAAAATTTTAATAAGTTCGTTATTAAGCTACAGGTGTTAGATAATATGAAACCAAACAAGAACTTAAGACATAGCAGAAGTTTTATTCTCAGGCTACTAAAAATAAATTGTTAATAATTTTTGTGCTTTACTTTTTGACTATAGCCAGCCAAAATGGGTACGCTTATGGGTGTGTACCTTCCTACAATCCAGAACATCTTTGGTGTAATCCTGTTTATACGTTTATCATGGATAGTGGGGGTCGCAGGAATACTACAAGCTTTCTTAATAGTTTTCATCTGCTGTTGTTGTGTAAGTGAATCACTCTAAGGCCAGAAAACAAGATTCTCCCAATTCAGTGTATAATCATACTTGTAAGTAAACAAATCAGACCCAGCTACGTGGTTGCCTGCTTTTGTTAATCACTCATACTATTACCATTAGGATTGGACTCCACTCAGTCCTTAATTGCCATTTCAAATTTTACTTGAAAATGGGTTTACGCTGTCTAAGTCTGCTCCTTAAAATCTCTTTATGGTTGCTAAAATTGTAGGAAACTAAAGAAAAAAAGCTCTAAACCTTGCATTATTCAGGTGCTGAGCATTAAGTTCTTGTGTAAACGCTAAGATTTCCTAGTTGCCCAATTGACGAAAATAAGTTGCCAAGGGCCACCCACTAGTAGCACTGCAGCAAAGCTCTGTTCTTTGTTTTCTTTTCCCTGCTCATTGTTGATACAGAAAGGGGGTAGCTATAGATGAGGGATTAGGTGGGGGCAATATACCTGCTGACTTCTGCTAAGTCAATTGTGTGAGATTTTTGTCTCGTCAAAACTGGAATTTTTGATAATGTTCCAGTGACTTCTGAGGATTTCCAATGGTTTTTGAAAGGCTTCTGAAGCATGCCGGCAATGTCCACAGATGTCCAGGCAATCTTTGAGCTTTTCCGAAGCTATTTAAAAGGCAACAATTTTAGCTTGTTGTGATACAACTCAGGGACCCAAAGTCAACATTAAGGACCTTTTTGGAATAATTTTGGGATATTGAATTTAAGTTTGGTTACTAACATGCATTAATTAAAGAACAATTTGTCTGGATTTGTGAGTAAGGCATGATAAATAATTATCGCCTTGATGCGCAAGGTCAATCAGTTTTGTTTGTCAAGGATAACTTTGTCTGCTAACTTGTGCAGATCAGTGAAGAGATCTTTCAAACCATACCAGAATGAGCACAATTCAGTCAAGGACACCAGACAAAAAGGCAAAAAAACCATAATGTAGCATTGACCTAAAAAACACCATAGAAAAAAGCCAAAAATGCATGTAACATTGACCTGAAAATTTCTACGAAAATCTTGTTCCACTACCTTCCTATCTTTCCGTTTGTTTAATCCTAAGATCCTAAAAGCTTTCCGAAAAACTTTTCCCACCAAACTGAAGCCTACTAAATGCCCAGCGAGAGAAAAAAAAATGAGGCAAGAAAAGCGGAAAAGAGGGGAGGAGAGAACGGGAAAAGTAAAAGTCGAGAAATTTTCCTTTCTGCGCATGCCCAAACTTTGCAAGCTAATATATGGCATCTGGATTAGAAGGCCACAAAGTGTACGACTTTGTGGCAAGTTTTAGCTCTTTACAGCACCACAGTGACCAGAAACCCTCAAATAGCTTCAAAACGCATTTTTTGGCAAAATCTCCATTGGTGAATGGGTTAATATGAAAGCTAAATTTTGATGGCTAATTAAATGAATTTTTTTTTTAATGATTGTATCCCCTATTGAAGTGTCAATGTGGGTTGTAGACTGTAGTCCAGTTGAAGAAAAAATTTTAACTTTATTTTCTGTTTTTCTCCTTGATTTTAGACAATGTTGACTGCCATTTCCATGAGTGCCATTGCCACCAATGGAGTGGTTCCAGGTGCTAATTTGCTTTCCCTCCCTAATTTTGCAACAAACAAGCACACTGAAGGCCATTTTCTATATATTGCCTGCGGAATGTGATCCTTCCTCTTAAGGGACACAATGTTCTTAACTTGACTAGCTTACTGATAAAGCAAACTGAATTAATTTTAATGAGTGGAAACTACATTGTGTATTTGCATTGGGAGATGAGTGAGATTTGGGAAACTGTACACATCTAGATATGCCCCTGCTTTATAATTGACTCTCGTAGTGAAATTGTTGATTAATAGACCTGTGTAATCACTCATTGTAACTCCATTTTTGTGATTGTCTTAGGTGGAGGTGCCTATTTTATGATTTCACGAGCTCTTGGCCCTGAGTTTGGAGGAGCTGTAGGGCTTCTGTTTTATCTTGGAACTACATTTGCTTCTTCTATGTACATACTAGGTGCTATTGAGATACTTCTGGTAAGTAGTGCTGTCAGGGTTTTCTGGTTTGACTTCTTGTCTTTTATAGACCTATTGCCAGTATAAACCTTCAAGAGACGCTTCCACGTCTGTGCTCTTAAGCTCCAATAGACTTATCCGGCTAACTCAATGTTGTACCCAATTGAAAACCTTAGAGAATAAACGTTTTGTTTCAGGAATTTCCATATCATTTAAATGTGAATGTGAATACAATATACAAAGAATCTTAATCCCAGGAGATTTGAATTGGGTACAACATGGAGTTAGCCGAATAGGTCTATCCTGGGAATTTAACTAGGTTGTCCAGCATTTTTTGGAAAACTAAGATTTTTTGCCACCCAATAGTAAAAGTGTATGATATCTATGGTTAGAATGGTGGGGGGTGGGAGTTGGGAAAGGATACTTGCTAGTAATAGGCTGATGGGGATGCGCTAATGGTTGGGGTCACATGACTGGATTGACTTGATGTGGTTACATATTTGTCAATAGAGTTACTAGAATGGGGTCACATATTTTTTGGATTCTGGGAGTAGCGATTCAAAAAATGTTGCGGTTCATTTCAGGTTGATCTAGTTAAATAAGGCTCTGTAAGGTAGATGCATAAACAGAAAGCAAATTACATTTGCCCAAAAGTGACTAAGATGGGGTCTATAATTAGCTACAGAATAGACCTTAATTAAGGTTGGGGTTCTGAGAGGTCTGTGACACCCCACTGGGTTTGAGGGATGCTTTGCTAACTGACTGGAAAAAAAGTTCAAAGAACTAACTTGGTGAAGTTCAGATCCAGCCGTCTTGAAATCAACTCAGTTAGTCATGTAGGAGTACTGACATTTGCTTAACCCAGCCACTTTAGTGTATGTTCCTGTATGTGTACTTCCAAAACGACCAGAACTCCGTGGTAAAGGTCCATGGAGGGAGTTTTTACTTTTAGCCTAAGAATCTTTGTTTGTTGTTTTATCGATATTCTTTTTTTTTTTCAGACATACATGGCACCGTCAATGTCTTTATTTGGAGATGTAAGATCAGGAGGTGGAGCCACATCACCTGTAATGCTAAATAACATGCGTGTTTATGGCTCCATTCTCCTTGTTTTACTGGTCGGAGTGGTTTTTATTGGAGTCAAGTATGTCAACAAGTGTGCATCTCTTTTTCTGGCCTGTGTTTTGTTCTCGATTCTGGCCATTTATCTTGGGTTCTTTTCAGCTCAAGCACGAGAAATGCCAAGGTAATTCTAACAAAGCATTACATTATTATTTGTTCCAAATTTATTAGAGGAACCTTTTTTTCTTGGCTGGGCTGACAGACTTAGATGTTCTTGGCAAATTATTCTCTTTGCTGTTCAAATACAACTTTGTTTCTATGCATAAAATAAGTATTTATTGCTTTGGGGCGAAAATTTGATCATCTAGTTTGCTCTTGAAGTGAGGGACAAAAGTGATGAGACGCTTCCGTAAAATGCCCCTTTTTGGCGTAGTGGACATACCCATCCTCTTCCCCTGTCTACCCAACCCCTTCCCCCCAAAATCGATGTGTATTTTGGATCCTCAAGTCTTTCTTTTACTTCAGACAACATTGATTCGGGGGGTGACGGGATTTATGCTGTTTAAAAGGAATGAAATAGTAAATGAATTAAATTTTTGATAAAAGCACCCGTTTTAAACAAGTGTGTCAATTGCTTTTGTCCCTGATTGTAGAAATCAGTGTCATTTTAACACATTTACAAGTGTTCTGTTAATTTCTAAGTTCTACGACCCGACTCTGGATCGATCCCAAAGTGTGACCATTGATTCAAAATGATCGCTTTATGATTAATGCTTTCCTTATTTGATGCTATTTAATAACACAGTTTGCATGAGAATATAGTTTATTTAGTTTCTCTTCAAAAACAAAAATATATAGCTACACAAGAGTGTACAAGGCAAGAGCATACAATAAAAAAAGGTTACAGTAGTCATAAAATACATTGAAAGATAAAAAGATAATAATCGTTGTGATCCCCACTGACTCCATTAATTCTTTCATTTCTCTCTTCTTCCTAGAATTTGCTTGTTAGGTTCCAAGTTGTTAGCCAGTACCAGTTATCATGAATGTTCAAGAAATGACACATTGCTCAGTCAGGCTTATGGAAATGATGAACAGTTCTGGCAAAACAATCCACTGTCTTACGTGAATGGAGTGCCCGGAATCACCAGTGATTCTTTTGTGGGTGAGTACCTTACAAAAATAAACTGTGTCGTCAAAAGGGGTTCAGAAATTAAAGAGAACGTAACCTGCAAGGACTGCAGACTTATTAGGGACCTTATGAAACTACGACGGCGACGGCGACGGTAACGTTTAAAGCGCAATGGTTTCTACGAGCAAACAACAACTCTGCACGTGCTACCTGCTTGTTCGTTCATTTCTTTGCCGTCCCTGCACAACTACGATGTGAAATGAACAAATTTTGAGTTGACTTGAGAAAGGAGCGGCGATGAACGCGCTCCCCTCTCTTCAGTTCCAACCAAACTTCCCTACTGTAAAGTAACTGAGTGACTTGACATAAGGGAGAAAAAGTTTCAAAGGATGTGTAGTCTATTTTTCAACGACGTTTTCATTGGCGTCGCCGTTGTTGGATCGTAAGGTCCCTATTATTTACTGGCGTGAACCCAAGGGGAGGGGCGGGGGAGAATACTCAAGACAGTTTATACGGCAAGGCTCCTTCCCAAGGTCCAACCCCTTTCCCTAAGGCTTTTATCCGTTTATACCAATTTTGACAGAAAATGTACCCCTTTCGTATATGAACTGTAATGACAAAACAGCAAAGAATAAAGACTCGAGTATTCCCGATATTTCTAACGGACAAGCCGTTCTTCTTCGAGGTACAGTTCATTGGTCTCTGTTAAAACTGCAAGATTTGGACTATCATAACTATAAAAGTCCCTTTACTCAGGGATTGCAAATTTTATTGATGAGTGGAGTCACTGTGACTTCCGCTTCACAAATTTTGGAGTCATTTTGGAAAATTTGGAGTCAAGTATCACAACGAAAAAAGCCATTTTCAGACTTTACAGCACGTGGTCCTGGCATAAATAACTATCGTGATGGATACACGGTGTAGCTGTGGGGGTCCACTGACCTAGAAAGCTCAAATCCATGATGGCGGTCATCGAGTAAACTTTGATCGTAATTTACCCTCTTCCTGTTTTGTCGTGCAGTATCATTCTTTAATTTTGATGATTTAATTAAGGTTTACAACTTTTACAATTAACGTAAATTGCATTTGTTGCGAAAAAGGTAGGGACAAAACTGTGTTTGTTACAGAAAATTTTTGGAGTCGAAGTGGCTCCCTGTTTGTTACCGAAAATTTCTGAAGTCGAAGTGACTCCCTCCGTAACCGCTGTGGAGTCATCTGAACAATTTTGGCGTAAAATACGCCAAATTTGGCGTATTTGCGAACCCTGCTTTACTATACCCCCTATTGACAAATGGTACCCCTTTCACATACCTTGTTTAGGGCCATTATAGGGGGCACTCACTTGGGGCATAAAGAACATTATTCTCACGTTTTACAATTTTGCTGACCCTCTGTATAAAACACTTACTTTCAGGCAAGGTCTGATGAGGCATTTTTTTTAAACTATTTTTGTCATTAGGGAGCCCTAGATTTGAGGACGAGAACGAGAACGAGTACGAGATTTAACTTAAAGTTTTTGCGTGTGTTCTTAAAAAAGGAGACACCCCGGAAAGCTTCATATTACTTTTTTTTCCCGATAGCAAAATGATAAAACTGCTTATTTTTGATAACTTGTTCCCACTATGCATTCTCGCTAAAATTGCAGTAGAATGACGACGGCTACCACATTTTCCCGCCAAAATGAGGCTGGTTCAGGCGTGAGCAATACTCCGATTGAGAGAATCTCCTACTCGTAGTCGTCCTTGTCTCAGAATCTAAAGCTCTCTATTGGCTATGTCCAAACCCCTATATACCTGGCAGTCAATACATTGTTGGCATTAATTAAACAAGAACGTGAACCTTCAAATTAGTGCGGATTGTCATAGTAATGTATCTGGGGCTCAATCAAAGATGTTGTTTGTGTAAAAGAGACTCATTCTGTGAGTGAATTGAGATGGCAAGTTTCTCGTTATTACCTTGAAGTTGTTTTGGGTTCATGGGTGGCCATTTAGTATATTCAGAGAGTAAATTTCAAGGATTTAGGATAGATGGAAAAAGGGGAGAGAGGAAAGAAGTAAATTGTATGCAAAAGAGGAAGTCGAGAACTTTGAATTAATTCACTTCTGCAGTAGTCTAGTCATACCCATGGTGTTTTGCTGCTGGAGTTCAGGTGACCCAAATATTACTAGAATTGAAAAGAGCATGCCTGGTCAGATCAGAGATCAGTAACTGGCCAAGTTTAAGACTTATGACATTTACAAATGAGTTTTAATGAAGATGTAACTGTTGCCTATGCCCCCTAAAAAAACAAAAAAACAAAACAAAAACAACAACAAAAACATTTTCCCTCCCAATTAATTATTGCGGCCATTTTGCTAACCTTTGCATGTTCGTTTCTGAATTCGAGATTTTATTCAATGATATCTGAAAACCGGAAGTTGAGATGAATAAAAAATTATGACTTAACTGCAATTGACCTGTTACAATAAAATTTCACTCTTTGTCACAGAAAAAAACGAAATGTTGTGTCCATTTTTTTGTGATCAGTTCATAATAATTCATTTGCATTGCTTGTAGATAACTGGAACAGCAAGTATCTAAAAAAAGACGAGGTTTCCCCTGGAGTAGAGGCTGGTTCATATGAAGGAGAAGTGAGGTCTGATGTCACAACCTCATTCTTTATTCTCTTGGCAATTTTCTTCCCTTCTGTTACTGGTAGGTAATTGCGCAATTTTAAGTCACCCAAACGTTTTGTACAGTGTCTACCTCCAGGATTATTGATTTTTACAGTAATGGAGCGATTTCACATGTATAACTTGAGTGCAATTTTGGCAGATTTATTTAACGATTTATTGGAAATTTCTCCGTGTTGCGGACGAGTGCAGTCACCAAATGACGTAACACAAAAAGTTGAAAAGACACTCATCAATACCAACATCACAACACAAAAGCGAATCACAATGGTTTCCGCAACAGCAATAAAGACCCGATTTATCTAACGGCACCTTCAAAATTTCCTCTTGTCTTTGTTGTCTAGTGCAATTTGGGCCAGTTGTAGGCTCGTTTTCAGGAGGTGAAAGTTTTGTGGCAGTAGAGAGGAGAAGTGTGACGTCACGTTACCATGGTAGCAAAATTTTTGGATGACAACAAAAGGGAGCTTAGGCAACAACGACGGCGACGGCAACGAGAACGGCAAAAAAAGCAATAAGTTTATATTAGTAACACAACAACTTTGCACGTGCATCGCGCTTTTTGCATATTTTTTAGCCATCGTTGCATGACTGCGACATGAAACGTCCTAATTTCACGCGCCCGCTTTACGGAGTAAGAGAACACAACGCAAAAAGTTTCTTTTTCGCTTTCCAAACTCAGGTACGGTGTGTTCGGATTCAATCCAGAAAATTTCGCTAATATTTGACAAAATCGATGTAGTTTGAAACAGTGCGAATTTACTTTTTTAAGTGAATTTTTGGTTTGTTGTCATCCAAAAATTTTGCTACCATGGCAACGTGACGTAATGACTTCTCCTTTCTATTGCATGCGAGCTAAATTCCTAACTTGCAACTTTCAGCCTAGCCAGTTTCTTACTCGCGGTTTTTTACCGTGTACACTTACATATACATGTATGATTTTGTTGTTCTAAAGGGATAATGGCAGGCTCAAATAGATCTGGTGACTTAAGAGACGCACAGCAGTCTATTCCCAAGGGAACAATAGCGGCAATTGCAACCACTTCTGTGGTCTGTATCCTTTTATGTTCTTGTTAAAGACAGTACTGTTTGTTCTAAGAAATTATCGGGAGTGGCGAAGGTTTCTTAACTTTCAGACCAGCTGAACCCAAAGGACTAGCAAGAGTTATTGTTGTGCTTGTGAGGTGATTGTTTCTCATATCCCTTGGGCACTGCGATCCAGAATACTTGTGTTTTATTATGATCTTCTACGTTAAGAACTTCATGTACCTCTAAAGAAATCGTGATCTCAAAGGTCTCTACCTAAAAAATCAAAAACTACTGTTGCACAAAGTTGTGAACGTAACCTAAATCCAAGCAGCAAAGGGTGAATAGTCATTTAACCATAGGAGAAAGTCTCCCATCTAAAACTACTTTAACTCTGAGAATCTTATGATTATTACTATAACCCTCCCCTTGGTCGTTAATACTTCACCAGTAACTTTCCTTCGAGATGCGTATGCATATCCGCAGTTTGCGTGATAACATATCTTATAACTTAATTTGTTGATGACTCATACTCAGTCTGTAAACCTTTCTGGCCTGTTGGATGTTACACATACCTTAAGAAAGGTTCAGATCTCACATCAGTGCTGCTGTTTGGTGCAACAGTTAATGGAGACCTGCTAAGAGACAAGTACGTACGACGCTCTGCACTTCAAGTTCTGGCCCGGATTTAAAAAAATCCAGATTTTTGCACAACAAAATACTAAAAATAAAGACAATCTTTTGTAGATTTGGTCGCAGTATTGGCAGTGTCCTGGTTGTGGCTGAGATTGCCTGGCCTCCTACAAAATGGGTGATTCTTATAGGTTCACTTTTGTCTACTGTGGGTGCAGGGATGCAGAGTTTAACTGGGTGAGTATTATGACGTTGGTTATTTATGCTACTGTAGTAACAAGGGTATGGGTCACTGGCCGTTTCGCTACAAAGTCATTTCGCTGCTGATTAAAGTTGTTTCGCTGCAAAGACTTTTGCATCAGTTCGGAAAATATATATGCGAAAAGGCAATATTATTGAAAATGTATATGCTCAAGTTATTGATACCCTTGACGTATTTCAAACTTAGTGGCTTTTGAAAGAGCCGTTAGTTCCGCGTTACTCTTAATGCAAGACATCAAATTTGTCAATTCTGAGACTTGAGGATTTCCTAGACGTGGCTTGATGTGTGAGTTTGCAATCATTTTTTATTGCCCGTCAATGGGATCGCGTAGTTTCGTGGTCTTGCAGGTGTTGTGATCGGCACTAAATGATTCAACAAAAAAATTGAAGAGATACTTAACCAGACTTACAATCACACGACAACCCAGTGGCTTCAATCTCATGGTGTTTACATGAAGGGACACTAAATGTTCCTCAAAGTAACTGTATTTCGGGCGGGCTTCTAGTTATCACTTGCAGTGTATGTAGTGCCTATAGTTGTATTATCAGGTTGCGTTCGTTACCATAATTGTATGTTTTGAAGGGAGCTTAAGCAAACACGACAATTACGGCAACGAGAACTAAAAAAAACAGTGAAAAACAAACAAACTAACTATTGGATCATTATGAACAAAACAACAGCTGTGCACGTGCATCACACTTTTTGTTATATTAATTATCAGTCAAGTCAACCAGACGCGGACTAAGACGTGAACTTCTTAATGCGATGTTCTTTAAGGAGGAAATGAACACTCGACGAAGAATTTTCCTTTCTCTATTTTAACTTTTACGAAATCAACTGCTGGGAAATTCGCCTACATTTGACAAATTGAGGGAGGCTAAAGTTTGAGTGAACATAAATACACTTTTTGCCCTCGTCGTCGTAGTTGCTTAAGTTCCCTTTTGTGTCATTAGGGTTTAAAAAGATGTTTCAGGTTTTTAACCTTTTATTTCGGCACTAATTTTACAGGGCACCACGTCTGCTGCAGGCCATAGCTAGAGATAATTTGATTCCGTTTCTGAACATATTCAGTTATGGCTCCAAGTCTGGGGAACCCACTCGAGCCTTGATGCTTACAGCATGTATTGCCGAGATTGGAATATTGATTGCCAACTTGGACTCAGTCGCGCCTATCATAACCATGTGAGTTTTTCTCTTTATTCCTTCCTCTATTCGCTACTTTGAGGTTGCGTGGGGGACCGGGTCGAGATGGTTGTCAGAGTGCATTGTGGGTCTGTTTTGGGGGACGAATTTGCCGTCATGTTGAAAATGCGTCCTCCAAAACAGTCTCACAATGCACTTTGACAACCATTTCGACCCGGTGTCCTGCGCACAACATGGTTGTGAAAGTGCATTGTGGGACTGTTTTGGGGGACGAATTTGCCGTCATGTTGAAAATGCGTCCCCCAAAACCGTCCCACAATGCACTTTCACAACCATCTCTACCTGGACTCCTGCGCACATGGTTGTGAAAGTGCATTGTGGGACTGTTTTTGGGGACGAATTTGCCGCCAAGTTGAAAATGCTTCCCCCAAAACCGTCCCACAATGCACTTTAACAACCTCGAACCCGGTCTCCCGGGCAACCTCAAATCAGCCTCGGTTCCCACGACGAATGGAATGCAGAAAACCCCCTCCATTACACAAGATTTGAACCTCACAAATAGACAGTGAACGTCACATTTAAGTTGAGAATTTCTTAGAGTAGAAATAAGCAGACAAAAACTGTCCAGAACATTTCTTATGGATGAAACAGGCGTGAGACTACTTATTTTTGAGTAGAAGTAATAAAAAAAGGGAAAACTTGGTCATGTGGTACGAATTACCGTAAACGTGAATCTTAATCTCTCTGATGTCGGACAAAAAGGGCGGGAACATGTTCGAAAGCAGAGGAAGACTGGGGAGAGTAAACGTTGCAGTGGCGTCAACAGGCCATTTTCCTGATGACAACATTCGACTGCGACTATCAGAATTTATTTCGTTTTCGTTTTTAATTTAAATTTGTCAATTCCGCTGAGGTTTAGAAAGCAATAGCCCTAATTTGCCCAAGAGAATAACAAATTGAGGATTCTGGTAGTTGTAGTAAAATGACGTCATCGTCGAGAAGGCACAACCTGGGGGAACTCTTTTGTTTTACGTCGATAACTCGTGACAGTAATAACTGATAAACTTGAGGTCGACGGTGCGCTCATTTTATCCCCCTCTCTCCATCAATGCTCTGTTTTATTGGTATTTAAAGCTAGTTAAATCTACACAGAAAGGAGAGAAGTTGAAACAAGGATGTCATGTCAAGGGGAATCGAACTCGGGACCTCGCGCACCGAAGGCCGCGCAAGTTAGCTATAATCATCTCCTATCCAACAAGTGCGAGTGGAATAATTGTTTAATTAAAAACGCCAACAAAATATCGAGAATTCTTCCCGACTTTATTTGTAAAAATAACCGATTTTCAGCTTGTTTTTAATTTTGAGCAGATGCGTACTGTTACCATATTTGGGGAGCATGGTACACTGGCTCATATAACATGATGGCTAAGCCAACCAGAGCTCTAGAATTGCATTATCCAATGATTCAGTTTTTAATAATTCCTAGTATTTTTGAGCAGTTGTCATGGGAGGCGTCCATTAGACAGGGGGTGTTTACTAGAGAGGGGTGTCCAATACAAATTTAGCATTGTAGGGGTGGACGTTTATTAGATAAGAGGCCTTTATTTTAAGAGTGGGCGTCTATTAGATCATTTACAGTAATGGTAGCCGCTGCCCTTTTTGTAGTGGTCTAAAACCAACAGTAACTTATGCCATAACTGAATTAGTTTTTTTGTAGGAGATTTTAATCACCTGGGCCCAGTTGTGCGAAGGCCGATTAGGGCAAACCCAGGGTTAAATTTTAACCCGGGTCTCTCTTTCATTTCATCTCTTTTTAGAGTAGCCAATCATCAAATTGTCAGTGACAAAAAGAATTGAACTGAATTTGCTTTTTAAGCTTTCATATCTGAATTCAAATTTCGAACTAACCCTGGGTTATCTTAACCCAGCTTTAAACAACTCGGCCTTGACATTTATTATAAACTAGTACTCCCGCATGAACTTGATGACTGTATTCTGCTTTTAACAGGTTCTTTTTGATGTGCTATGGGTTTGTCAATTTGGCCTGCGTGCTGCAGTCTTTGCTACGAACACCCAACTGGAGACCGCGATTCAAGTATTATCACTGGTAAGTTGAATTGATCTTAGAATGGAATAATAGCTATGTGTGCGATAAAGGAGTCGTAAACAGGCCTACGTATGCTATACTAAAAACACCAAGTTGACCCCCTTTGGAGACGAGGTGCCAAGCAATACCTCCACTGGTTAGAGCTGTTTTACAGCTGTTTATACCATAGTTAGAACTCGCCTCTATGTAACAGCGCAGCGAAACACGACAATAAGCTGAGGCACTGGTATTAATCCCATTGTGGGCGAAAATGTATTTGCCGAGATAGCTACCTCTCAATGACAATAATATTTAACAAACAGGCAACAATTTGCCATGGTTTGTACTCTTATAGTCCATAGAAATGACGTTGAAATGTTCAAATCTTAAGTGGAACCACGAGCCGTAGGCGACTGGTCTCACTGCAAAGTTTCATATAGTTCATAGGGGGCCATCAGCTTATCAGTTCCTATTGTAACTGTCAAATGTTACCCTCTAAATAAAGTCTCCACTCCACTCCACGGTTTTATTACAGTATATCTTTGTCTTTACCAGGTTCACGTCATTCCTAGGCATGTGCCTGTGTTTAGCTCTTATGTTTATCTCCAGCTGGTATTATGCTTTGGTTGCTATGATTATAGCTGCTGCTATTTACAAGTACATCGAATTTCAAGGGTAAGAACTTCTTTTAGCACTGTGTCACCTTTTGAGCCATTCTAAGACCATTTCCGAGCAGCCACAAGCCTTAGTTTTAAAGTGAGGGTGTGTGCAAAGTCTTTGATATACGAAATTCAAAATTATTTTTTCTTCTTTGGTAAGGAGAACTCATTTCGACAATAAGGGTGTTGAAATTACCCCATTTTGAAAGTGGTGGGGCCAACCTTCACCTGTTCCAAAGAAGGTTTGTGATCGGCTGGGAAAACAATAGGGATGGTGAGTCAGCATAACAATGCCCCTATCCCTGCTAGGTAGTGCAGGTTATAGAGACCAATGAAATAAGAGGTTTAGATGGGTGCAAGTCAACCAAAGTGATGGTTTTGCGCTTGGGCTTTATCTATTAGGGAGCTTAAGCAACGACAACGGCGACGGCTAAGAAAACGTCACTTAAAAAGTGAAGTCGTGCTGCCTCAAACTTTATCGTGCTTATTCCATCTCACTTAATTGTTCAAACGTTGGTAAATTTCTTTGGAGTGTAATTCTAAAGGATTTTATCAAAGGCAGGAAAAGAAAAAGAAAATTGTTGTTTTGTGTTCCCGTCCTTGAAAAAATGTGAAATTAGGCACTTTCACCTTGTGGTAGTGCAACGACGGCTAAGAAATGTATAAAAAAAGCGTAAAGCTTGGCAAAGTTGTTATTTTGCCGTTCTCGTTGCCGTGGTTGCTTAAGCTCCCTATTAGTGACTTTAAGATCCAACTACGCGGACGGCAACGAGAACGTCGAAAAAACAATAGGTTTTATATTAAGCAGAACAACAACTTTGCACGTGCATCACGCTTTCTGTACATTTCTTTGCAAGTTTTTGCACGACTACGACGCGTTTTATGGACTACGTAAACAAGCATCGACGAAATTTTATTTCTTTTCCTGAACTTGGGTATGGTACCTGGGAATTCAATTCCTGGAGGGTTGGCTACATTTGACAAAGTAAGTGGGTAGAAAAAAGTGACGTTCTCGTTGCCGTCAAGTCGTTGAATCTCAAAGTGTTTATTACAGTGAAACCTGTATTAAGCGGACACCCTCGGGAATGCTGTAGTGTCCGCTTAATACAGGGTGTCCGCCTAATACAGTTTTCGATAGATAACGTCATATGAGGTGTCAAATGCCACTCAATTGAACAGTGGAAACGTCTACAATACTCCCAGAGACTATGACGATATACGTTTGCATAACCAATTGATCATAGTACCATAAACATAGATTTCAACTCAAATTTGAAGAAATCAGATGAGTGAAACAAGCTCTATACAAACAAAACGAAATAGAAAACAATACAGTACGGTGAAACTAATCAAATAAGTTCGTCAAGTCAAGTTTTTAAATGTAAAAATATAAAAAAATGTGAGTGGCGATTCGAGGCAATCTTTCGCATTTCCGGTGTCTGGCATGTTGGGTGGTGGAATTTGATTACAAGTGTGCGTTTAATACAGGTTGGCAACAATAGAAATGACCATTTCAGGTACTTTTTAGGTGTCCGCTTCCGCTTAATAGAGGTGTCCGCTTAATAAAGGTTTCATTTAAAGTAAATAAGGAAAATAAAGTTTGGGACTTCGGCTACTGTCCGCTTAATAGAGGGTGTCCGCTTAATACAGGTTTCACTGTATATGGCTGAATTCGCGACCGGGCAAGGTGAAGCAAATCCTGCGTTCTGATTTGCTACCCGAGAGGGCAAGATTGGCCCATCTCGGGATTTCCCGCGTTGGTCCCGCAAGAAAAAGTTCTCTTATTGGCCATATAATGTATCCTTAATTGACTAACTTGTACGATTAAGATGGCTTTGACTGGCCTCGGTCTTTTTTTTTTTTTTTTTTTTTTTTTTTTTTTCTTGTTTTTCTTTGTTGTGGGTTGGCTCTGTGGTTTTTTGTTCTTTTTTTGGTGTTTTATTTTTTGCTTGTTGGGCGCCCTGGTGGGGTTAGGATGGCTTTGTCTGGTCTCGGTCTTTTTTTTTTTTTTTGCGTTTTTTTATTGACCTCGAGTTCGTCTCGGTCTATAAAAACGCGAGCATGTTATTGTAGCAAACCTGGAAAATTTAATAAAGTGCATGATTTTGAATCCTTTGCTATTTGCAGCGCAAAGATCGAGTGGGGAGACGGATTTAGAGGACTGGCTCTGAGTGCTGCCAGATACAGTCTACTGAGGCTGGAGGAAGGTCCACCCCACACTAAGAACTGGAGGTTCGTAACAGTTTTTAGTAATATCCAACTAGTGGTCTATTATCAATGCTGCGTTCTGATTGGTTGAGATACTACTAGGCTATATGTTATATGTTTTTGGCGGCAAAAAGGGATTAAAGTCCAGCTTTAACTAGCTAAATTTTTTTTATTCTCGATATTTTTGACCAACTAGTTGGATTTTACTAAAACAATTATTCCTCCCGCCCTCATGGCCTCTGAGTGAATAGCCCATTCGGCCTTCGGACTCATGAACTATTGACTCAGAGCACATTCGGGCTCGAGAAATAGTTGTTAAATAACTCACCCACCTAACAATATACACTTAATGTCAGGTGCCGAGGGAAACAGTTAGTTTTGTTTTCCCTAGAGTCCTGATGTTTCGCTAGACGAATTAATAAATACTTTCTGGGTTAATTTCTTGAATTTCGACTCTACATCACTCGCTGATAACCGTGAGTTAACGGAGCTGCGTTGTATTTTAAGAACTATAAAAATAATGAAATAAACATCTAACGAACACAAACATACAACAGAACTTGGTTAGAAGATGAACAAAACTGAAGAAGATTTCAACGAATTGCATGCATTGTTTAAACTGTTCAGCTTTTAAGCTAACAGTATTTCAGCGGGGACCCCTGTTGTTTGTTATTTCGAAGGAGATACGTGTTTCTCACCAAGCTGTTATTTTTTCATTTGGAAGAAAATTCTTCGCTGTCGTTGATTATCATTGTTAGTCATTAGGCACGAAAAAAGGAAACAAAAACAAGCAACAACAACAAAATGGACTAAGCGGCCGTGACAGAATCCTTTAAAGGCAAACGAAATGTCTAGGTTTTCGCACCGGCTGTAATCGCCTGTAAAGAACAATGGAAAATGTAGACCTAAACACACTGTGGTGTTTTTATTGTGTCTTTGCAGACCTCAGATTCTTGTTCTGTGTGCCTTGAAAAAGAACTATGAACCAGAGTCAAGGCGCTTGTTGAGCCTGGCTAGTCAACTAAAACATGGTTAGTATTTTTCTCCGGATTGTTATTTCTTTTTTTCTTGTTTGGTTGGTAATTTTTTTTTCTGTGCGCAAATAATTTTCAACTATTAGCTGGACCAACAACTAGGGTATGGGGTGCTACCAGAGTCAAATGAAAAATGAAACCAAACTTCCAAAATTACAGTTTGCCGGTGAAATTATAGGAAACGAATGGCACTATCAAGACATTTTGGTGAAGAATCGTTATTTCAATGGTCACTCCAATGATTTTATCCACAGGGTCAAAAGTTAGAACTAAATACTAAATGAATAGTATCATGTGAAATTGCTGCGAAACAGGTTTCATAATACAATACAATACTTTATTCAAGAGATAAAAAAATATATATATATCTCCTCTCGAAAAGGGATATCTAGAGGTTTTGAATGGTCACATCCCAGGAATGAAAAAGTTAGAACTTGATACTAATTAAACAGTACCATATAACAGTACTGCTGAAGAGGTTTCATTTTGAAAGGTCACACCAAAGGACTTCATCCACAGACGCAAAAGTTGGAACTGCGAATTAAATGAATAGCCCCATGTGAAAACATTGCTAAAGAGGTTTCATTTGAATGGTAACACCATAGGGTTTTCATCCCCTGACTCAAAGGAGAAGTCACGTACTAACAGGGAACAATCTTGCTTTGCAGGGCGTGGTCTTACTATAGTAGGCTCCATTTTGGAAGGAGATTTTAACGAAAGGGCTGAAGATGTAGCTTTAGCTAAAGAGGTAAAGGACAACTGTAAGTTTAGTTTAGCCGCTGCGCTGGTCGCGAATAATAACCGCAGTGATAAGTTCCAATCAATTTTGATGATACCTCTGAGGTCAGCCACAGCGGTTGTTTTTGAGGTACTCTTAAGTTTAAGCTTTTAATATGCATTTGGCTCTAGGCAGGTTTAGCTCGCCAGGGTAGAATACTATTTGAAAGAAATCAAATGTTTAAAAGGTTTTTGTGGTACATTATTTCCCTTCAATGTATTCCTTTTAGTTTCAACACAAGGAGCCAGTAATTACAACGTTATAATGGACTAAGTTTTTACATTTGTCCAACCCTCACAACGAAACATTATTGTAGTTGCTGTCACTGTGCTACATGTAACAGCTGCAAAAAAGGCTTATAGTCTAGAAAACAGTGGCTTCGTGCATGTGTATGGTATGTCTTAGCCATGACCGTGGTTCATGTTTAATCTTACAGGTGTTAAAAGACTGCATGAAGGAAGAAAAAGTTAAAGGATTTATGAAGGTCTTAGTAGCCTCAAAAGCTGCAGAGGGAATATCATTTTTGTGAGCCTTTATATTTTTTGTAGCTTATTGATTGAAGTGCAGGCCCTATGACTGGATTTATCACTGCCCAGTGGATAAGCATGCATATCACTACGCTTTTCACAAACATGCGAACTATAAAGTTCAAAAGCTGCCTTCACAATTGCGTTTTTCGCTGCCGTCAATCATAATTACGATCACAAGTAACGAACCTGGAAACACGGAAACACACAAAACGGATCAAAATCCACCAATTGCAAATCAAAAACCATGACCTTTTGAACCCGTTGAAAGAAAGTTTTAAGATGATTGACGGCAGCGAAAAACGTTATGCCTTAATCTTTAACAATGGAACGTTTAGAAAAATGTCAACAATAGAAATAAAAATATATTAAGTCACATTGCGCAAACATCGATCCAAAAATATTTTTTCATATGCGCATTACATACATTTCTGGTACAAATTCTGGTTATACAAAAAAAGGTCCGAGATAAGCGACAATTCTAGCACGTAGTAATACGCAAGCTTAGCAGTTGAGAAGTAGACCCCGCTTAAATAACCCGAGTCAGGTCGTTAAACTCCTTTAGTATACAAGGAGGATCTGGTGTTTGGTATAGAGAAGGAGATAGAGGGGGAATCACTGTTGGTTGATAGTTGATCTAATCTCGACTCCATGAATTCTTTTTAACCCTCACTATTGTTTTAGAGCCCAGAGTTCGGGTCTCGGAGGCCTGGAACCTAACACATTGATGATCAACTGGCCTGAGAATTGGCGGGAAACAGAACAATGGAGAAGTTTTGTTCGTAAGTGAAGAATTGTACTGACTCATACCCTTAAGGGCCCGTTTACATGGAGGTTGGGGACCCCAGATAGGTGAGGTAAAATGTGGCGGCTCACCCCACCTGTCATGTAAAAGTGATAAAATTGAAATTAGAGATTATATAGACAGGCAAGTTACCCCACCTAAGCGGGTTACCTCACCTACCTGGGTTCCCTCACCTCCATGTAAACATGCCCTAAGAACTAGCCCATGTAACGGGAGGAATAGACCTCTTTAACTTGTATATTTTGTTTTCCTAATAGAGGTCCCATTATGCGTAGTTATGCTCGTGAGTAAGACGAAATTTGAAAAAAAATCTTCTCTAGAGTATTATCACATGACCTGTATTGGGAAAGCAAAACATACAAGCTAAAGAGGTCTATTGGGATTATTCGGGTGAGGGTTTTTACCTGTCTGCCAGAAAACCCCGATACGAAAAATATTCCATTATTTGTATGTTTGACCTTTTCTTTCCGACACGAAAGGCTATCCGGTAAAGTACGAATAGTAGCGGCACAAAACTGGAAAGAGTCGTTCACACACATCGAACATCGTGCTGAAGCAGTTGGCCAAGAGGGTTTGGTAAACTGAATACCAGTCCTCGCTCCTGAATATTTACTTCCGTCTCAGTGGATTTCAGTCCTAGCTCCTACTTTTCACTTCCGCCACGGTCCGAATACCTGTTCACCCTGCGCCAAACTGTGGCACAGAACCTATCCGATATGTGACTCTCCACTTTAGAGATCGGCGCAGCACAGCTTCGCTCCGTCACAGAAATCGCGCCAAAATCACTGTTCTTATGTGTGAACAGAAGCCCTATCTGGTATGATTTTCGTGCCCTCGCAAGAGCTATCCTGTGTAATGAGAACTTTATTTTCCTCCTTTTTTTTCTTGTCAGATACCATCCGCTGCATTTCCAAAGGTCAGGAGGCGCTGCTCGTGGCGCGTAAGATAGACGCGTTTCCAAGCAACACAGATCGCTTAGAAGGCAATGTGGACGTTTGGTGGATCGTACATGATGGCGGCCTCATGATTCTACTACTTTTCCTTCTAAAACAGCACAAAGTTTGGAAGAAGTGCAACCTCAGAATATTCACAGTGGCTCGTATCCTGATGATACTGATGCTAAAAATTAATAAAGTAGTAGAGTTGTTTAGATTTGAGAACGAGGACGAGATTTAACTTTAAGTTTTTTCGCGTATTCTCAAAAAATCGACTACCCGCAAAGCTTAATTCTACTTTTTTCCCAGTGAACAGAGCACGGTTTTTTTTATTGAAAGAGATTAAGCGCCCTTTCGAGCGCAAAATGATAAAAACAGTCTAGCATTTGATACCTTTTTATTCCCACTACGACAATCTCGCTATAAAAACTCATACTAAAATGACGACGGCGATTACGTTTTCCCGCCAAAATGACGCTTTTTCACGCGGGCGCACCACTTAGTATTGAGGAAATCTGGTACTCGTAGTCGTCCTCGTTTTAGATCCTTAGAGCGGTTTTCACTCGACTGTCGAATTGGGATTGGTTTTGGTTTTGGTTTTGGCTTTACTACGCCCTTTGGTTGGCTAGTGTATTTACTTTGGTTTTGGTTTTACGACAGCCAAGTGAAAACCGCTCTAAGGTCTCCAATATAACAATGCAATAGCTTTCAGAAAAAAACACTTATTGAGGGGACCCATGACGGTAATAGCAAATTTGTAGTGCTTGTAGCACTCCTTGGCACTGCCTAGAGTAGTATGATTATTATAGCCAGAGTTACCTAACAGATTTGGTGGCTTACGATTTAGGACTTCGTTGAATTGTGAAAGAATTTATGTCTTGTTTTCAGAGCCATCACTGTGAAGTCTTCTTTACTTGGGTTTTCGTCTGTCACTGTGTAAACACGGTGAACACAAGACTGATACCCGTTAAACCTACTAGATTAAATAATAATAATAATAATAATAATAATAATAATAATAATAATAATAATAATAATAATAAACTGAAGTTAAATAATAGAGTAATAATAGTAGTAATAATAATGATAATTAAATTAGTAACAAGTTTGAAGAGGGTTGACGCTTTGTTTGCATTAACCTCTCCCTTCGTGTGGCTCTGTAACAAATAAAACGCGCTGATTACGTTTAAGAGCAACACTAGTCGTATTTAAATCTGAGTTTCTCTTGACTAAGCTGAAAACAGAGCTCGAAGACAACAGTATTCAAATGAAGAAAGACCTGGAGTCCTTCATGTACCAGCTTAGGATCAAAGCTCAAGTGGAAGTTATCGAAATGGTGAGTGGTATATCTTCAGACGCGTCGTCCGGATAAAACAAGCAAATTAGGAACACGTAGACGTTCTTCGAGGGTGTGAAACGCAGACAGGCAAGCGCGGGAAATCGCGGCATGGCAGACAGGCGACCTCGTTCCCAGGCTCTCTATTCTTTCCATCCGGGCGCTACGAAGCTGTTAAAAGGAGTTTTCTTTATCTATGGAAACTATAGATGAATGACCCAAACAATGTCTCTAGCCCTTAAATTAACCTTCGACCCTTTCTGCCTCAAGTCCTGCTCCCTGGAGCGAGAGAGAAACGGGAAGAAGAGATTGAGAGAAAGTTTGCAATTTGTATTCGTTTTATGCGATTGGTTTTGAACTTTTCGCGATGGTTTTTTGCCAGTCTTAAAGTTTTGAAAGGTGCAGTCTACTAAAAACTACTGGCCTTAATAGACAGGAAACGGGACAAAGTTTTCCAAGATTTCGAAACAATGACATCCGGAAGTTACCTCGAGCCGGCAAGCAAGTCATGAGTAGTTTTCATTTAATCAGTTGATTTATAGAGCAGTGCGAATGTGGTTAATCCGGCGTGATCAAAGTGTTTGTAAAAGCTCCTTTTCTTTTCCTCTTAAATGATTTCAGATGGACCAAGATATCTCAGAATACACTTATGAACGCACGCTGTTAATGGAACAGAGACACCAGATGCTAAAAGAAATGCAACTGTCGAGAAAAGAAAGCAGACGGGAAATACAAGACGTCGTAGAACATTCTTACAGAAGACGGTCACTCTCCAGGCGAAGGTCTCAGTCCGATCACAAATATGACACGAAAGCGGATTGCACGAGTAATCCCGACGAGGGCTCGACAATTCCTGACCCGAATCCACCCGACAAGCACCATCAAAGTGCCGACAAGAACCGTGTGATGAGTGGTTCAGGAAAGTCTGATGTTGATCATAGTAAAGCGAACGATGGGTACACTACCCCTACTAAGAACGAAGTTACGATGCGTAGCATCAAAGGAGATGAACTTGTAGATAAAAACACGCACAGTAGTAAAATATCAGAGGACAGAATTGACGTAGGTACAGTCTGCGGCAGAACCAGCGTTGATGGACAAGAAAGCGGGTTGAAAGGAACGCCGTAAGTATTTCGTATTCTCTGTTCTAACTCGTAAGCACTATGCAGCGATTTTGTCTTCCCCGGTAGAGTATACCGTATTTTCTCGCATAAGCGCCCGGGGGCTTATTTCAAGTTTCAGCTTAAAGGATGGGTGCTTATTCGTTCAATCGAGGGGCGCATTATTACGTTTTCCTTTAAACGAACTAGAGAATTGTCTAGTTGTTCCTGGGAAGTAAGGGGATTTATCAAGAGCGCGGCATTAGGGCTAAAATTGGAATAAGAGATGACGTACGTGAGGAAAACTCTGCAAGTACACGGATGTAGAAATAAAAAAAAATTATATTGTCCTTTACTGATTCCGCTGTAGACGAAGCCTTAAAAATTAAAATAAATCGGCAATAGAAGCTGTATTTCTTGCATTCCTGCTATTTAAAAAAATGAGGGGGTCGGGGGGTTGCTTATAATTATTTGATAATATGGCCTTGGAGTGAGCGCTCATTTGAGGGAGGGCGCTTATTATAGCGTGGGTGCTCATTCGAGGAAATATGGTATATGGCGAAAAGATTCCATGTTGCTGTTTGTCGAGGAATGCAGACTACTAAATACTTTCAATAAATCTCTTTGTTTGTATGTCATTAGAAAGGAGAAAAACCTTCGACGCATGAATACAGCTGTAAAGTTAAATCAGCTTGTGAAAGACAGATCAAAAGGAACTCAGCTGCTCGTCATCAATCTCCCAGGACCTCCATCAGACGAGAACGACTGGCAACACTGTATCCTTTTTAATCCCTTGGTGGTAACGGTTAGTGAAACGTCTTAATGAGTCACTTGCGATAGTGAGGGGAGATGAGTTATTCCTTCAACAGACTGAAACTAACTTTCCGTGGGATGGAGGGTAGGTGATCGTAAAAACTTTTTCTATTTAATTCTCGGGGAAAGTGTACGACCGGCCACGCCCTATCTTAAACTCATGGGGTGGAGGGTTGTCTGGTTTACTCTAAGAGACTTTTAATCACCTTTTTATTTCCCTGCGTAAGACGCAGGAGTATGTGAACTGGCCCGTGAATCGGGTGGGGCCAGGCGAAAAGGTCCTGGAGAGGGAGAATTCAGAAGAGAGAAAAGGGGCGGACAGGCTCCCTTGCTCCTCCCCCCCTCCCTTTCTTGCCTTTTCTTCTCTCCTCTCCTGCCCTATTGGACACTAGAGAACTTTTTGACTGAAAAAAGAAAAGAAAACAAAAAGCAGCTCCCACGAGCTTTTTGTAAACAGTGGTCACTGGTTCTTATTCACACGTTGGCAACTGTAAATATACCACTTCCCTCTGTTTTAGTAAAAATGTATCCGCCTTACATCAATAGCGCTCTCATTAATCTCTTCCCCCAACCCCCTCTTCGTCCGTAGGCTTGGATATGGAAGATGTCCCTTCCGCCTAACCGTTGTAGAATTAGGTACGAAATTGTTTATGAAAAGAGCGCAGGGTGCATTGTTACAATGTCTTACCGTCTTATGGAATGATAACCCTTATCTTGACTGAAAATCAAAGGCAATTTATCCGTCAATTTGTCTTAGTTTTCATTCTTGACTCGAAACAACAGATATGGAGTTCTTGGACGAGCTAACGGAAGGACTGGATCGAGTATTAATGGTGCGAGGAGGGGGGCGGGAAGTCATAACAATTTACTCATGACGTCATCTAAATCTTCCTTGGTTCGAGAGGGTCACCATGGCAGAAATTGTTTTCGTCGCTTATGTTTATGTTTGTAAAGAAGCTGAAGGATCAAAGTTAATTTATTTTTGCTTAAGTTTACCGGCATAATACGTCGATTTGCAGTGATTTATCACGTCCATGAACTGTTTTTACAGGCATTTAAATTCCATGCTTATTTATTAAGTGATTAACGAGAATAAAAAGGTTAAACGTTGCGATATCATCAGTTTCCTTTTTCGCGTCCTTTCTTACCTCACCAAACTCTTCTTATTCAGGTCTCTCCTCTTCCAAGTTCTTTCACGTATTAACGATAAGTTGTTGATATAAATTACGGTCGAAATAGATCACAAAAGCAGAGACGCAGGTTACTTGACATTTAACCCTGAATAGACAGGAACATGGTTCGTACAATCTTGAAAAGGTCTTGAATGTTACTAGCCGTCTTGAAAAGTCTTTGAATTCGGTTTAGGTCCTTGAAAAGTAAGTGATTTCTTTATTAGGTACTGAATCTTGAAAAGTCCTCTAAAGTCACAACCTTGTCTACGCCAGACTCCTTTTTCTGTAAAATAAGATTATTTTGTAAGTCGGGATTGCGAAAATTACATTTTTCCCCAAAGTGACTAAGATGGGGTCTATATTTGGCCACAGAATTGACTGTAATGGGGTAGGGGTTTTGAGAGACCAGCGGCACATACCCAGCAAAAATTAACCCAAGTAACCCCCTCCCCCCCCCCCCCCGGTGGGTATCCCGCCATTACAGTCAAGAACACTTCACAGTTGTTTTAGAGATGATCGTAAATGAAACGAAAGTGAAACGGTTCTCTTTATTTCCATTTTCCTGTTATTTCAGTCATCTCGGCAATGATAGGGGCTAGTTTGACTCAAGAAATTCAAGACTTCCCCTTGTACTGAAGCCAGTGCTACTTCCCGGTACTTGTTTGTAATCAACACCGATTTACATTAATGTTCAGGTTTCACTTCAGTAGAAAAGCGACGAACGACGTGACCTTTTTTTTTAAGCTTCATCTTAAGTCCCAGTCTTCAAAGACTGATTTTATCGACGTTGTCAGTTATTACTCCTTTTTATTCTCTTGATAAACTGTTACACGAAGAACAGCAGAGATATGAGGCCTTAGAGTTCCAAAGAGAAGCAGACAAAGGATTGCAGAAACCTCGGAACGCGGGACACTCAAAAGAAAGTTTGGGTAGTGATGTGCCGCCGAGGCCTTCAAACCCTGACCCTGTTTAAGACAAAAGTCGTTCATTTCGTTACCTTGTTTAAGACAAGTAGACTTAATTTCATGACCCTGACTCATTTCTTTTCGCACAGAATTAGTTAATTCTTTAAATTAACATCATGGAATGATAATAGAAACTAAAAAAAACATGGTTGGCACCATACATGTAGATCACTTGTCGCCAAGGTTCACACTCTTCTAAAAGGCTTCCACCCAAAAAGACAATCTGTTCAAAATGCTATTAGAAAAAGTAGTGAAATTATTTATCCTGTTTAAGACTTAAGACCTTGAATATGAATACTATGGCTTGTTCAGCGTCACATACCCATCTTGGTAAAAAATGGGAGTGCCCCCCGGGGGGGGGGGCACTAAACTAGACGTACTATTTCCTCGTTCTTGTCAAATAACTTTTCCAAACACATCTCTTATATAGTCATGACTTCCTCTAGCGCTTGAGGGTGTGTTATTTATCACTTACACTAGCGTTCAGCTGGTTGCAATCGGGGTTACAGTCAACGGAGCAGAGTACAGTCCTTTTCCCTTCGTCCCAGTTCTTAGTTTTCACATAAAAGGCCGGCTTGTATTAGAAGACTCTGGACGACATTGCTGCTTTTCTGTTTTCTTGATTAAGTCTTACACCACAGAAAGCAGAGACATGGGATATGAGAGCGGTGAAACAAAGCAGACGAAGAAGGGAAGAAAACTGGAAAGATTGCTTTCCACGTCAAGCTTGCTGTTGTCTGTTCTTTGCTGTATCGCTATAATTCACGTGGAACTCAGAACACAAGAACATCATCGATTGATATCACACTCTACCTCTGGAACATTCCGAGACGAAATGGAAACAGAAATCCTTCGAAAAGTTCAGCTGGAGTACGGAAGATGGCGAGAAGCCATAGTCAGCCATTTGGAAGGTGAATGGCAGAAGACAAGAGGTGAGTTGTGTTACTTTTTGTATTCTTGACTTTTAGTGTTACCATAAGTATATCAGCGCGGGATGTCACGCCCGGAGGCTTGATTTATAAGTTGCTTTTCGCAAGTATTTGAATTTTTAATGCTACCTTGCAGACAACAAGTACATCCAGTTCAGATCTCCAATATACCGTAAAGTTCCGGAAGTAACGACCCTCGTTACTCAGTTCGAATTTAGTAGACTTTTTCTATCGCTACTTTCGAAGGGTCGCTTCTTTCAGGAGGTCGCTACTTTCGGGTAGCTAAAACGTGTATCGTACATGGGCCGTACGAAGTTACGACAACACAGGATAAATCTCTTGTTAATTGGTTACGATTATAGTAATATCGCGACAATTGTGAAAATATCCACACTCTTTATTTGGAGAAACGTATTTCATGTTATTGTTTTTTTAAATAAATGTTTAAAAGAATTGTTTGATTACGGTGTGGGTATACAAAGACGAAAGGAAGTCTTTTTGAAAAAAAAAAAAAAAGATGTTATGCCCTATTTGAGTTACATGAAGGAGTGTCAAAGATCATTATAACCTTAAAAACATAAATCGCGGATTAGTTTCGTAACGGCTTATTTTAACTATAATTTCCGTTAATTCTAGTAAGGAGGGAAATCACTTTTGAAGTCGCTACTTTCGGAGGGTCGCTAGTTTCGGGAGGTCGTTACTTTGGGAGCTTTACGGTAATGCTCTTATGAATACTGTTTCCAGGCAAGTGGACATAGAAATCAGAAGAAAACATAAATAACACGTGGTCCGTATTAATACCTTGATCGACTTCGACCCCGGGGGTACTCCCTTATATGGCCTATACAGGGATGTGCCGCTTGACAGGGTATGGTTTTTGACCTCACTGTCCTAAACAGGGTATATAATTTCGAGCAAGTCTCTCCCAAAGAGGGTGTGTATTTTAGGATTTTCTTGTCCTAAACGGGGTCAGGGTTTCAAATCATCAGCGGTTCACCTTTTCCCAAATACAGGTCCACTATCCCCTCCGGGACTTCGACAGCGTGCAAACTAATTTGTAAGAAATTTTGATTTTTATATTTATGGGTAATTCATGCAGGGCTGAACGTTTGATCTGAAGGACTCTTTTATATCATCAGGTGCGTAATGTTTACACTTGAGTTTCTCAACTTATGTTCCAGGTCAAAGAGAAGACGTTTCAAGACAAAGGCGGGCATCAGTGAGCAACGCACAAAATAAATCGACTCAAACATCGACTGAAGTAAAATTGCTTGTCAAAGAAGAACTTCGTTTGCTGCAAAACCAAATCTGTGCTAAAGATGAAAAGCTCTGCCGCTCAGGACCAAAAGGGAGCAGAGGACGACGGGGAAGACCTGGAACCCGAGGGAGACCAGGTCCCCCAGGGAAACCCGGTCCAAGAGGACCTCCTGGTAAACGTGGATCAGTAGGACCTCAAGGACCAATAGGCGTAAAAGGGGATCTCGGAGTTCCGGGTGTTCCTGGTCCGACAGGACCCAGAGGCCCGCCAGGTGAGAAGGGCGTTAAAGGGGATCTCGGAGTTCCGGGTGTTCGTGGTCCCGTGGGGCCTCGAGGCCCGCTAGGTGAAGAAGGCACAAAAGGTGAACCTGGCCAGTCCATCCGGGCTCCATCTCTGCTGCAGCGTCCTGTTGAAACCACAGTCAATGAAAGTCAGACAGCAATTTTCAAATGTACAGCTGACGGTAATCCAACGCCACAAGTCACATGGTCAAAGATGAATTCTTCGCTACCAGTGGGACGTCACGTGCTAGAGTCTAGTGGTGCTCTGGTTGTGAAGGACGTTATACCTGGGGACGAGGGTTTGTACAACTGTCGAGCTGAGAATTTGCTGGGAAGTGTCAACCATTCAGCAAAACTGATTGTTCAGTGTGAGCTGCCTTATTTGAGTTGTCATAATTCTGTAACGATTTAGGTCCTTCCTTTGCAGAAATTGTATAAATTTTAGGTGGGATATCGAGAAGGTAGTTTAATTTGTTTAAAGAGACAAAAACGGTTTCATCTACTTAGAGAGGTCAGTAGTTGAATATGTAAAAGTTGTGTAGAACTTCCGGCGGTTGGTTCGTGTCTCTTCGCTTCATATATTTAGCAACAATTTATATTGTAGTCCCATGATATGAGAAAATTCAATTTCAATTTTATCTGCTTAAACAACGCTCTTCAGTAACCTACAAAACGGATTTTTGTACAATTTTAGATAGATCACTACAACTAGCTATTTTACACACTTAAAAAGACAGTAGATTTCAAGTGGATCTTTGGTTTGAGAATTAAACATTTTCTATGGCAATAAAAGCTTTGTTTCCTTTTTTGAAATTACCTTTCTTTTCTTCTTTTCTTTTGTTTTATCCAGTTCATCCTCGAGTATTTTGGGTATCTAGTCGACTTATTGCAGAAGACGGGCAAAACGTAACAATCTTCTGCAACGCTTCTGGTCGGCCGCAGCCTAAGGTCACGTGGCTAAAAGCCGTTGGAACTTTTCAGAAAGGAAGAACCGCCGTGGTAAAAGGAGCCTTGACAATTTACAAAGTGACGAAGAACGATGGTGGAACATACATTTGCAAGGCTGAAAATATGCTGGGGTCAGTATCAGTCGCGGCTCTACTTGTGATATTCTCCCCTTTGCGCTTTAAAGTCCGTCCTCCTCAAGAAGTGTCTTCTGCTAGGTTTGGTTCAACTCTACGGTTGCCTTGTGCAGCCGAGAGTGATTTGAGGCCGAGAATTACTTGGACAAGGGATGGCAAGTTTTCACTTCCTGGGGAATTTTTCGTTTTACAGAATGGAACACTTGTAATTCAAAACATTAAGAAATCTCACCAAGGATTTTACACCTGTAGAGCGACTAATGCAGTAAAAACAATAGAAGCTAAAGTCAAAATCAATTCCCCAGTTACAGCTGCTTCCTGTTCTGCTATAAGAAAATACGTTAGCGTAAGCGGAAATTACGTTATTGATCCAGATGGTGAGGGAGGCCAGGCTTCATTTTCTGTTTATTGCGACATGACCGATAAGAATGGAGTTGGCGTGACAGTCATCAGTCACGACAGTGAGAGCAGGACATTTGTCGTGAGCCACAACCGTCTGCGTGATATTCATTACACAGGAGCGAGTCTTTCTCAGTTGGCGAGTCTCACCAGAATCTCTTCTCAATGTGAACAGTTCATCAAGTATGAGTGTTCCGGGTCCCATTTGAGAGGCTCGTGGTGGTTGTCACGTGATTCTAAAAGACTGTCATACTGGGGCGGAGCATCACCTGGCAGTGGAAAGTGTGCATGCGGGATGACCAACTCATGTGCCAACACCGGAGATCGTTGTAACTGTGATAAGGATGACTGGGTATGGCGTGAAGACAGTGGTCTCCTGACTGACAAGACAACGCTTCCAGTAAAACAGCTCTATTTTCCGGATGTTGGTGGCCGCGAAAAAGGTTATCATACTTTGGGAAAATTGAAATGCTATGGCACAGCGTGAACATATTTCATCCTTTACCTTTAGACTGCGTCCCAAATTGATTTGAATACTAAATTACATGATCTTATATTTGAGAAATAGAATTAAGGTGACTTGATCCAGTATTTTTGTAGGTACACCTTTCATCTTTGCGCCTCTTACACCTAAACAGCGCTCTTGATTGTTATTATAAATCCTTCACAACTCATGATTATGCAATCCATAGAATTTAAAAATGATATTCATTTTTCGAGATCGGGATCATTATTGCGTGAAAATCATGACATCACAATTGTTTTAGCTGTAAGTAACTCTTTTGCACTCTCTAGCCTTGGTTGTAACTGTGATAAAGATGACGGTGTATGGCGTGAAGACAGCGATCTCCTGACTGACAAGACAACGCTTTCTGTAAAACGTAACAGCTCTATTTTGGGGATGTTGTTGGGACTGAAGAATGCTGCCATACATGGCACAGCGTTAACGTATTTTAGCCTTAATCGTTAGAGTGCTTCACAAAATAATTTGAATGGGACATCACATGACCTCAAGTGTGTGTAATGAAACTGTTCGCTGGAAAATTGTTTTAGAATTTTAATAATTTAAAAATTTTCCAGTGATTGGAAATTTTGCGTCATTACGGGTACTATTCGTGTACGAGTTTATCAATTCTCTCTTCTTCTTAAAGCTAAGTTCAGGCATATTTTTCTACCTAATTAATCGGCAAAATCACTTTATGTTGTCCGTAGTACTTATGCTTGCTCGCAGGCCAAAAATTAGTATAGGTAATAGCATGATTTGTAGTGATATTTGGCATAAATACCACGAGTGATATTTCAAAATTGTTATACGTAATTTCACGAGCCGATAGGTGAGTGAAATTTGAGACAACTTTGAAATATCACGAGTGGTATTTATGCCAAATATCACATACAAATCATGCTATTATTTGTTTATACTACGACCCGCAAAAGGTTTGTAATTTTCACATGTAGGTATTTCAAATTAAGCTGAAATACCACTGCTCTAAGCCAATCAAATTGTAGAAATTTCTCATGTAGTAGTATAATACTCGAAATTAAAGTGTGATTGGTTCGTAGTTGTGAAATTCTTGACGCCTCTCTTCACCGTCTGTCCTGTCAATCAATCTTAGGTTTACAGATCTAGACTAAAAAGACTTTTGGCATTTTATGGTTATGTTCATAGGCGTACGGACAATTTTTTACCGGGGGGCGGGTGGTGAACTGTTTGCCAAAAAAATCTTGCAAGTTGCCCAAATTTAGGAAACAGTCGAAAAGGAACGAGGGTTACACAATGCACTAACATAGGCCTATAGATATTTATAATACGATCCATGACACAACTGGTGGCATTCTGACAAGTTGTTGTTCCATGGTGTTGAGGAAGTTTTTTTTTTAATCTGCGCAACGCACTGAATGGAAGGCTTCTTTCCCCCTCCCTTCCTTGCCTTTTCTTCTTCCTTGCTCTCCCACCCTATTAGAAATTAAAAAAAAATTTTCACTGGAGAAAAAAGCAGCTCCCACGGTGCTTTTTGTAAACATTGGTCAGTGGTTCTTATTCACACGTTGGCAACTGTAAATGTACCTTTTCCCTCTATTTTAGTAAAAGGTGTATCCGCCTACCTCAATAGCGCTCTTATTTATCTCTTGCCTAGATCCCTTCTTTGTCTGTAGGCTTGGAAATGGAAGATGTCCCTTCCGCCTAACCGTTGTAGAATTAGGTACGAGATTGTTTATAAAAAAAGCGCAGCGTGCGTCGTTACCATGTCTTACCGTGTTATAGAATGATAACCCTTATCTTGACTGAAAATCAAAGGGAATTTATCCGTCAATTTGTCTTAGTTTTCATTCTTGACTCGAAACAACAGATATGGAGTTCTTGGACGAGCTAACGGAAGGACTGGATCGAGTATTAATGGTGCGAGGAGGGGGGCGGGAAGTCATAACATTTTACTTATGGGGTCATCTAAGTCTTCTTTGGTTCGAGAAAGGTCACCATTTGAGAAATTGTTTTCGCCGTTTATCAGGATGCAATCTGGTGCATTTTGAGAAACAATTCTGAGAAATGTTACAGTGCTTGCACTGACCTCGTCGCGTCTGGGTGATTTTCCGATATAGTTACTTTTAGTATTTACCAAGCACTTTTCGCGCGTTTTGATTGGCTCTCTTAACTCGGGATATCCTTGGCTATCGGCACTGTTTTGCGATCGGAGCCAAGATGGCGTCTCCCTTCGAGACATTTTCGAAAGACGAAATTTGAGCGATAAATGAAGCAGTCGCACAAACAAATACCAAGAAGGCGATATTTTTTAAACTCAGTTGGCTTGTCGGTGTTTGCTGGTAGGTAGAAAATTATTTTTTTGACCTCACTGTCCTAAACAGGGTATATAATTTCGAGCAAGTCTCTCCCAAAGAGGGTGTGTATTTTAGGATTTTCTTGTCCTAAACGGGGTCAGGGTTTCAAATCATCAGCGGTTCACCTTTTCCCAAATACAGGTCCACTATCCCCTCCGGGACTTCGACAGCGTGCAAACTAATTTGTAAGAAATTTTGATTTTTATATTTATGGGTAATTCATGCAGGGCTGAACGTTTGATCTGAAGGACTCTTTTATATCATCAGGTGCGTAATGTTTACACTTGAGTTTCTCAACTTATGTTCCAGGTCAAAGAGAAGACGTTTCAAGACAAAGGCGGGCATCAGTGAGCAACGCACAAAATAAATCGACTCAAACATCGACTGAAGTAAAATTGCTTGTCAAAGAAGAACTTCGTTTGCTGCAAAACCAAATCTGTGCTAAAGATGAAAAGCTCTGCCGCTCAGGACCAAAAGGGAGCAGAGGACGACGGGGAAGACCTGGAACCCGAGGGAGACCAGGTCCCCCAGGGAAACCCGGTCCAAGAGGACCTCCTGGTAAACGTGGATCAGTAGGACCTCAAGGACCAATAGGCGTAAAAGGGGATCTCGGAGTTCCGGGTGTTCCTGGTCCGACAGGACCCAGAGGCCCGCCAGGTGAGAAGGGCGTTAAAGGGGATCTCGGAGTTCCGGGTGTTCGTGGTCCCGTGGGGCCTCGAGGCCCGCTAGGTGAAGAAGGCACAAAAGGTGAACCTGGCCAGTCCATCCGGGCTCCATCTCTGCTGCAGCGTCCTGTTGAAACCACAGTCAATGAAAGTCAGACAGCAATTTTCAAATGTACAGCTGACGGTAATCCAACGCCACAAGTCACATGGTCAAAGATGAATTCTTCGCTACCAGTGGGACGTCACGTGCTAGAGTCTAGTGGTGCTCTGGTTGTGAAGGACGTTATACCTGGGGACGAGGGTTTGTACAACTGTCGAGCTGAGAATTTGCTGGGAAGTGTCAACCATTCAGCAAAACTGATTGTTCAGTGTGAGCTGCCTTATTTGAGTTGTCATAATTCTGTAACGATTTAGGTCCTTCCTTTGCAGAAATTGTATAAATTTTAGGTGGGATATCGAGAAGGTAGTTTAATTTGTTTAAAGAGACAAAAACGGTTTCATCTACTTAGAGAGGTCAGTAGTTGAATATGTAAAAGTTGTGTAGAACTTCCGGCGGTTGGTTCGTGTCTCTTCGCTTCATATATTTAGCAACAATTTATATTGTAGTCCCATGATATGAGAAAATTCAATTTCAATTTTATCTGCTTAAACAACGCTCTTCAGTAACCTACAAAACGGATTTTTGTACAATTTTAGATAGATCACTACAACTAGCTATTTTACACACTTAAAAAGACAGTAGATTTCAAGTGGATCTTTGGTTTGAGAATTAAACATTTTCTATGGCAATAAAAGCTTTGTTTCCTTTTTTGAAATTACCTTTCTTTTCTTCTTTTCTTTTGTTTTATCCAGTTCATCCTCGAGTATTTTGGGTATCTAGTCGACTTATTGCAGAAGACGGGCAAAACGTAACAATCTTCTGCAACGCTTCTGGTCGGCCGCAGCCTAAGGTCACGTGGCTAAAAGCCGTTGGAACTTTTCAGAAAGGAAGAACCGCCGTGGTAAAAGGAGCCTTGACAATTTACAAAGTGACGAAGAACGATGGTGGAACATACATTTGCAAGGCTGAAAATATGCTGGGGTCAGTATCAGTCGCGGCTCTACTTGTGATATTCTCCCCTTTGCGCTTTAAAGTCCGTCCTCCTCAAGAAGTGTCTTCTGCTAGGTTTGGTTCAACTCTACGGTTGCCTTGTGCAGCCGAGAGTGATTTGAGGCCGAGAATTACTTGGACAAGGGATGGCAAGTTTTCACTTCCTGGGGAATTTTTCGTTTTACAGAATGGAACACTTGTAATTCAAAACATTAAGAAATCTCACCAAGGATTTTACACCTGTAGAGCGACTAATGCAGTAAAAACAATAGAAGCTAAAGTCAAAATCAATTCCCCAGTTACAGCTGCTTCCTGTTCTGCTATAAGAAAATACGTTAGCGTAAGCGGAAATTACGTTATTGATCCAGATGGTGAGGGAGGCCAGGCTTCATTTTCTGTTTATTGCGACATGACCGATAAGAATGGAGTTGGCGTGACAGTCATCAGTCACGACAGTGAGAGCAGGACATTTGTCGTGAGCCACAACCGTCTGCGTGATATTCATTACACAGGAGCGAGTCTTTCTCAGTTGGCGAGTCTCACCAGAATCTCTTCTCAATGTGAACAGTTCATCAAGTATGAGTGTTCCGGGTCCCATTTGAGAGGCTCGTGGTGGTTGTCACGTGATTCTAAAAGACTGTCATACTGGGGCGGAGCATCACCTGGCAGTGGAAAGTGTGCATGCGGGATGACCAACTCATGTGCCAACACCGGAGATCGTTGTAACTGTGATAAGGATGACTGGGTATGGCGTGAAGACAGTGGTCTCCTGACTGACAAGACAACGCTTCCAGTAAAACAGCTCTATTTTCCGGATGTTGGTGGCCGCGAAAAAGGTTATCATACTTTGGGAAAATTGAAATGCTATGGCACAGCGTGAACATATTTCATCCTTTACCTTTAGACTGCGTCCCAAATTGATTTGAATACTAAATTACATGATCTTATATTTGAGAAATAGAATTAAGGTGACTTGATCCAGTATTTTTGTAGGTACACCTTTCATCTTTGCGCCTCTTACACCTAAACAGCGCTCTTGATTGTTATTATAAATCCTTCACAACTCATGATTATGCAATCCATAGAATTTAAAAATGATATTCATTTTTCGAGATCGGGATCATTATTGCGTGAAAATCATGACATCACAATTGTTTTAGCTGTAAGTAACTCTTTTGCACTCTCTAGCCTTGGTTGTAACTGTGATAAAGATGACGGTGTATGGCGTGAAGACAGCGATCTCCTGACTGACAAGACAACGCTTTCTGTAAAACGTAACAGCTCTATTTTGGGGATGTTGTTGGGACTGAAGAATGCTGCCATACATGGCACAGCGTTAACGTATTTTAGCCTTAATCGTTAGAGTGCTTCACAAAATAATTTGAATGGGACATCACATGACCTCAAGTGTGTGTAATGAAACTGTTCGCTGGAAAATTGTTTTAGAATTTTAATAATTTAAAAATTTTCCAGTGATTGGAAATTTTGCGTCATTACGGGTACTATTCGTGTACGAGTTTATCAATTCTCTCTTCTTCTTAAAGCTAAGTTCAGGCATATTTTTCTACCTAATTAATCGGCAAAATCACTTTATGTTGTCCGTAGTACTTATGCTTGCTCGCAGGCCAAAAATTAGTATAGGTAATAGCATGATTTGTAGTGATATTTGGCATAAATACCACGAGTGATATTTCAAAATTGTTATACGTAATTTCACGAGCCGATAGGTGAGTGAAATTTGAGACAACTTTGAAATATCACGAGTGGTATTTATGCCAAATATCACATACAAATCATGCTATTATTTGTTTATACTACGACCCGCAAAAGGTTTGTAATTTTCACATGTAGGTATTTCAAATTAAGCTGAAATACCACTGCTCTAAGCCAATCAAATTGTAGAAATTTCTCATGTAGTAGTATAATACTCGAAATTAAAGTGTGATTGGTTCGTAGTTGTGAAATTCTTGACGCCTCTCTTCACCGTCTGTCCTGTCAATCAATCTTAGGTTTACAGATCTAGACTAAAAAGACTTTTGGCATTTTATGGTTATGTTCATAGGCGTACGGACAATTTTTTACCGGGGGGCGGGTGGTGAACTGTTTGCCAAAAAAATCTTGCAAGTTGCCCAAATTTAGGAAACAGTCGAAAAGGAACGAGGGTTACACAATGCACTAACATAGGCCTATAGATATTTATAATACGATCCATGACACAACTGGTGGCATTCTGACAAGTTGTTGTTCCATGGTGTTGAGGAAGTTTTTTTTTTAATCTGCGCAACGCACTGAATGGAAGGCTTCTTTCCCCCTCCCTTCCTTGCCTTTTCTTCTTCCTTGCTCTCCCACCCTATTAGAAATTAAAAAAAAATTTTCACTGGAGAAAAAAGCAGCTCCCACGGTGCTTTTTGTAAACATTGGTCAGTGGTTCTTATTCACACGTTGGCAACTGTAAATGTACCTTTTCCCTCTATTTTAGTAAAAGGTGTATCCGCCTACCTCAATAGCGCTCTTATTTATCTCTTGCCTAGATCCCTTCTTTGTCTGTAGGCTTGGAAATGGAAGATGTCCCTTCCGCCTAACCGTTGTAGAATTAGGTACGAGATTGTTTATAAAAAAAGCGCAGCGTGCGTCGTTACCATGTCTTACCGTGTTATAGAATGATAACCCTTATCTTGACTGAAAATCAAAGGGAATTTATCCGTCAATTTGTCTTAGTTTTCATTCTTGACTCGAAACAACAGATATGGAGTTCTTGGACGAGCTAACGGAAGGACTGGATCGAGTATTAATGGTGCGAGGAGGGGGGCGGGAAGTCATAACATTTTACTTATGGGGTCATCTAAGTCTTCTTTGGTTCGAGAAAGGTCACCATTTGAGAAATTGTTTTCGCCGTTTATCAGGATGCAATCTGGTGCATTTTGAGAAACAATTCTGAGAAATGTTACAGTGCTTGCACTGACCTCGTCGCGTCTGGGTGATTTTCCGATATAGTTACTTTTAGTATTTACCAAGCACTTTTCGCGCGTTTTGATTGGCTCTCTTAACTCGGGATATCCTTGGCTATCGGCACTGTTTTGCGATCGGAGCCAAGATGGCGTCTCCCTTCGAGACATTTTCGAAAGACGAAATTTGAGCGATAAATGAAGCAGTCGCACAAACAAATACCAAGAAGGCGATATTTTTTAAACTCAGTTGGCTTGTCGGTGTTTGCTGGTAGGTAGAAAATTATTTGACCTCACTGTCCTAAACAGGGTATATAATTTCGAGCAAGTCTCTCCCAAAGAGGGTGTGTATTTTAGGATTTTCTTGTCCTAAACGGGGTCAGGGTTTCAAATCATCAGCGGTTCACCTTTTCCCAAATACAGGTCCACTATCCCCTCCGGGACTTCGACAGCGTGCAAACTAATTTGTAAGAAATTTTGATTTTTATATTTATGGGTAATTCATGCAGGGCTGAACGTTTGATCTGAAGGACTCTTTTATATCATCAGGTGCGTAATGTTTACACTTGAGTTTCTCAACTTATGTTCCAGGTCAAAGAGAAGACGTTTCAAGACAAAGGCGGGCATCAGTGAGCAACGCACAAAATAAATCGACTCAAACATCGACTGAAGTAAAATTGCTTGTCAAAGAAGAACTTCGTTTGCTGCAAAACCAAATCTGTGCTAAAGATGAAAAGCTCTGCCGCTCAGGACCAAAAGGGAGCAGAGGACGACGGGGAAGACCTGGAACCCGAGGGAGACCAGGTCCCCCAGGGAAACCCGGTCCAAGAGGACCTCCTGGTAAACGTGGATCAGTAGGACCTCAAGGACCAATAGGCGTAAAAGGGGATCTCGGAGTTCCGGGTGTTCCTGGTCCGACAGGACCCAGAGGCCCGCCAGGTGAGAAGGGCGTTAAAGGGGATCTCGGAGTTCCGGGTGTTCGTGGTCCCGTGGGGCCTCGAGGCCCGCTAGGTGAAGAAGGCACAAAAGGTGAACCTGGCCAGTCCATCCGGGCTCCATCTCTGCTGCAGCGTCCTGTTGAAACCACAGTCAATGAAAGTCAGACAGCAATTTTCAAATGTACAGCTGACGGTAATCCAACGCCACAAGTCACATGGTCAAAGATGAATTCTTCGCTACCAGTGGGACGTCACGTGCTAGAGTCTAGTGGTGCTCTGGTTGTGAAGGACGTTATACCTGGGGACGAGGGTTTGTACAACTGTCGAGCTGAGAATTTGCTGGGAAGTGTCAACCATTCAGCAAAACTGATTGTTCAGTGTGAGCTGCCTTATTTGAGTTGTCATAATTCTGTAACGATTTAGGTCCTTCCTTTGCAGAAATTGTATAAATTTTAGGTGGGATATCGAGAAGGTAGTTTAATTTGTTTAAAGAGACAAAAACGGTTTCATCTACTTAGAGAGGTCAGTAGTTGAATATGTAAAAGTTGTGTAGAACTTCCGGCGGTTGGTTCGTGTCTCTTCGCTTCATATATTTAGCAACAATTTATATTGTAGTCCCATGATATGAGAAAATTCAATTTCAATTTTATCTGCTTAAACAACGCTCTTCAGTAACCTACAAAACGGATTTTTGTACAATTTTAGATAGATCACTACAACTAGCTATTTTACACACTTAAAAAGACAGTAGATTTCAAGTGGATCTTTGGTTTGAGAATTAAACATTTTCTATGGCAATAAAAGCTTTGTTTCCTTTTTTGAAATTACCTTTCTTTTCTTCTTTTCTTTTGTTTTATCCAGTTCATCCTCGAGTATTTTGGGTATCTAGTCGACTTATTGCAGAAGACGGGCAAAACGTAACAATCTTCTGCAACGCTTCTGGTCGGCCGCAGCCTAAGGTCACGTGGCTAAAAGCCGTTGGAACTTTTCAGAAAGGAAGAACCGCCGTGGTAAAAGGAGCCTTGACAATTTACAAAGTGACGAAGAACGATGGTGGAACATACATTTGCAAGGCTGAAAATATGCTGGGGTCAGTATCAGTCGCGGCTCTACTTGTGATATTCTCCCCTTTGCGCTTTAAAGTCCGTCCTCCTCAAGAAGTGTCTTCTGCTAGGTTTGGTTCAACTCTACGGTTGCCTTGTGCAGCCGAGAGTGATTTGAGGCCGAGAATTACTTGGACAAGGGATGGCAAGTTTTCACTTCCTGGGGAATTTTTCGTTTTACAGAATGGAACACTTGTAATTCAAAACATTAAGAAATCTCACCAAGGATTTTACACCTGTAGAGCGACTAATGCAGTAAAAACAATAGAAGCTAAAGTCAAAATCAATTCCCCAGTTACAGCTGCTTCCTGTTCTGCTATAAGAAAATACGTTAGCGTAAGCGGAAATTACGTTATTGATCCAGATGGTGAGGGAGGCCAGGCTTCATTTTCTGTTTATTGCGACATGACCGATAAGAATGGAGTTGGCGTGACAGTCATCAGTCACGACAGTGAGAGCAGGACATTTGTCGTGAGCCACAACCGTCTGCGTGATATTCATTACACAGGAGCGAGTCTTTCTCAGTTGGCGAGTCTCACCAGAATCTCTTCTCAATGTGAACAGTTCATCAAGTATGAGTGTTCCGGGTCCCATTTGAGAGGCTCGTGGTGGTTGTCACGTGATTCTAAAAGACTGTCATACTGGGGCGGAGCATCACCTGGCAGTGGAAAGTGTGCATGCGGGATGACCAACTCATGTGCCAACACCGGAGATCGTTGTAACTGTGATAAGGATGACTGGGTATGGCGTGAAGACAGTGGTCTCCTGACTGACAAGACAACGCTTCCAGTAAAACAGCTCTATTTTCCGGATGTTGGTGGCCGCGAAAAAGGTTATCATACTTTGGGAAAATTGAAATGCTATGGCACAGCGTGAACATATTTCATCCTTTACCTTTAGACTGCGTCCCAAATTGATTTGAATACTAAATTACATGATCTTATATTTGAGAAATAGAATTAAGGTGACTTGATCCAGTATTTTTGTAGGTACACCTTTCATCTTTGCGCCTCTTACACCTAAACAGCGCTCTTGATTGTTATTATAAATCCTTCACAACTCATGATTATGCAATCCATAGAATTTAAAAATGATATTCATTTTTCGAGATCGGGATCATTATTGCGTGAAAATCATGACATCACAATTGTTTTAGCTGTAAGTAACTCTTTTGCACTCTCTAGCCTTGGTTGTAACTGTGATAAAGATGACGGTGTATGGCGTGAAGACAGCGATCTCCTGACTGACAAGACAACGCTTTCTGTAAAACGTAACAGCTCTATTTTGGGGATGTTGTTGGGACTGAAGAATGCTGCCATACATGGCACAGCGTTAACGTATTTTAGCCTTAATCGTTAGAGTGCTTCACAAAATAATTTGAATGGGACATCACATGACCTCAAGTGTGTGTAATGAAACTGTTCGCTGGAAAATTGTTTTAGAATTTTAATAATTTAAAAATTTTCCAGTGATTGGAAATTTTGCGTCATTACGGGTACTATTCGTGTACGAGTTTATCAATTCTCTCTTCTTCTTAAAGCTAAGTTCAGGCATATTTTTCTACCTAATTAATCGGCAAAATCACTTTATGTTGTCCGTAGTACTTATGCTTGCTCGCAGGCCAAAAATTAGTATAGGTAATAGCATGATTTGTAGTGATATTTGGCATAAATACCACGAGTGATATTTCAAAATTGTTATACGTAATTTCACGAGCCGATAGGTGAGTGAAATTTGAGACAACTTTGAAATATCACGAGTGGTATTTATGCCAAATATCACATACAAATCATGCTATTATTTGTTTATACTACGACCCGCAAAAGGTTTGTAATTTTCACATGTAGGTATTTCAAATTAAGCTGAAATACCACTGCTCTAAGCCAATCAAATTGTAGAAATTTCTCATGTAGTAGTATAATACTCGAAATTAAAGTGTGATTGGTTCGTAGTTGTGAAATTCTTGACGCCTCTCTTCACCGTCTGTCCTGTCAATCAATCTTAGGTTTACAGATCTAGACTAAAAAGACTTTTGGCATTTTATGGTTATGTTCATAGGCGTACGGACAATTTTTTACCGGGGGGCGGGTGGTGAACTGTTTGCCAAAAAAATCTTGCAAGTTGCCCAAATTTAGGAAACAGTCGAAAAGGAACGAGGGTTACACAATGCACTAACATAGGCCTATAGATATTTATAATACGATCCATGACACAACTGGTGGCATTCTGACAAGTTGTTGTTCCATGGTGTTGAGGAAGTTTTTTTTTTAATCTGCGCAACGCACTGAATGGAAGGCTTCTTTCCCCCTCCCTTCCTTGCCTTTTCTTCTTCCTTGCTCTCCCACCCTATTAGAAATTAAAAAAAAATTTTCACTGGAGAAAAAAGCAGCTCCCACGGTGCTTTTTGTAAACATTGGTCAGTGGTTCTTATTCACACGTTGGCAACTGTAAATGTACCTTTTCCCTCTATTTTAGTAAAAGGTGTATCCGCCTACCTCAATAGCGCTCTTATTTATCTCTTGCCTAGATCCCTTCTTTGTCTGTAGGCTTGGAAATGGAAGATGTCCCTTCCGCCTAACCGTTGTAGAATTAGGTACGAGATTGTTTATAAAAAAAGCGCAGCGTGCGTCGTTACCATGTCTTACCGTGTTATAGAATGATAACCCTTATCTTGACTGAAAATCAAAGGGAATTTATCCGTCAATTTGTCTTAGTTTTCATTCTTGACTCGAAACAACAGATATGGAGTTCTTGGACGAGCTAACGGAAGGACTGGATCGAGTATTAATGGTGCGAGGAGGGGGGCGGGAAGTCATAACATTTTACTTATGGGGTCATCTAAGTCTTCTTTGGTTCGAGAAAGGTCACCATTTGAGAAATTGTTTTCGCCGTTTATCAGGATGCAATCTGGTGCATTTTGAGAAACAATTCTGAGAAATGTTACAGTGCTTGCACTGACCTCGTCGCGTCTGGGTGATTTTCCGATATAGTTACTTTTAGTATTTACCAAGCACTTTTCGCGCGTTTTGATTGGCTCTCTTAACTCGGGATATCCTTGGCTATCGGCACTGTTTTGCGATCGGAGCCAAGATGGCGTCTCCCTTCGAGACATTTTCGAAAGACGAAATTTGAGCGATAAATGAAGCAGTCGCACAAACAAATACCAAGAAGGCGATATTTTTTAAACTCAGTTGGCTTGTCGGTGTTTGCTGGTAGGTAGAAAATTATTTTCATGCTGAATTTGCGACAAAATCGTAAAAATGCACTTGACAAAATCCTCAAAAAGTTTGTAAATTGCACAAAGTTCCTTCTAAGTGACGTCTTGAATTTACAGAAAGTTACCTTTTTCATTTTTATCCAACTGATTTGGTAAATACTAAAACAATTATCTCCCTCAGTGAACAGCGCTAGATACATACCCCGACGCTTCGCGTCTATAATATACTGTAATGGTAACAAAATTTCTTTGGGGCGGGGGGAGCTGCTCAAGCTGGGCATTTTTGAGGGGATCGAAGCTTTTATCCCTCAAATACCCTAGATAGAACCCTGTCTATATTTATGCTTGTAAAGAAGCTGACCTTAACCCTAACCCTAATCCTAACCCAATCCCTAACACTCCGTTCCCCACTAGATCTGCCCCAGAAATTGTAGTACGCTCTTGCTTTTTTGAGGAAAAATGAAACAGCTACAAATTGGTAAGTGGGAAGATAAAGAATAACACAGATAAAGACAGCTGCTGATATTGATAAAAGTGTTTGATTTTGATTTCTCAATCCTCCAAACCCATTAGGTTTTGCACCCCCGTAACACTACCACCCTGAGTTATGGGCTCCTCCTACCACTCACCCCCCTCCCCCCTCTCCCCATCGAATCGACTCCCCTAATTTGCAATTATTACTTGCAAGTACCAAAACATCGCCAGGTATCCTTTTTGAGAAGCAACGCCGTTGTTCTAAATATGATCAAATAAAAATTGTCAAATATGGGGTGTGCATGTTACATGTGAATTGAACCAATCAACGTCAAGTCAGTGGTAACGTCAAGTCTATCTTGCGATGCCCGCAGTCCTATTAGTCAGCCTAGTATCTTAACGTGCAGGTAGGTGCTTCAAATATGATAATAATCATACATGAGGCATGCAGCGGTAAAATTTAAAAAATGGCGGAATCAGATGAGGCCGAAGTAGAGTATTGTTCTGAACATTTGAACGTCGTAAAAGAGGTAAAAATAGTCTTTCAGGGGAAAGAGAAAGAGAAATATTTTATCAATCGTGTAAAGTACATTTCACTGCATTTCAGGCAAACGAAAGGAGCTTTGTAGAGCTGCTTACAAACGCATGTGCATGTTGTATCACCCGGACAAAAGATCCCGCGAAAAAGAAAGTAAGGTTAAAAATCTTTAGGCCTTGTTCGCACTGAGCAAAATTACACACAAGTACAAACGGAATTCAGAATATATTATTTTTTAAAAAGCATTTGTTCTCGAGCAAAGACAGACAATAGATTAATGTAACAATCGTTAGTGTACGTTATCCCAAAGAAGGTCACAATTAAGGATTTATTCTTTAACTATGCCTCTTTGGCTCTACTGACATTAATGTTCTTGAACATATATCGTTTATTTCTCATGGCCATACCAGACAAAGTAAGCTTAATTCTTTCAATCTTAAAACTCCTCTTTGCCGAACCTGTACTTTTAAGGCTTCTTATTTTAATCTTATTACTAATTTATGGAATGTTGTCATTTCTCTTAAGTCACTTAGTAATTTCTCTAGTCCACAATCTTTTAAACAGTTTGTTTATAAAACCATGTTCACCACTGTGGTTAAAGGAGCTGTGTCACGAAATTCAGCCAAATAAGGAAATTACGAAATGACCGTTAAATTAAGAAAAACATAAAAATAACCGCTTAAAGCTTTAAAGGAAGGATAAAATAACTTAACAGAAACAAAAGATGCCACGGATGGGCAAAACTGAAGAAGATTGAAACGGATTGAAATTAGGGTTTTTGAAAACTGTTCAGCCTAACAGTTTTTCAAAGTTGATCCCTGCTGCTTGCAACTTCAAAAATAATGCTCAAGAGACATATTTGTTTGTCTCGGATCTCTGATTTTGTCATTTACCTGTAATTTCTTTGCTTACTTTAAGTTCCATAGCGATTGAGGGCGAGTAATTGGCAAAATTAAACAACATGAACTGGACTGCCGTGACAAAGCCGCTTTAATACAGTGAGGTGGAAGGATCTTGCACATGGGCTTTTAATAGTAATGACCTGTTCCTTTCTCAGGTCAAAGTGACTGTGCGTATCACCCCAGGGGGTACTCCAGATTTCAAGTGACAGGGACAATTGAATGGGGGCAAAAATCAAAACCCAAAAAAATCCCTGGACCAAAATTTAACCCCCAAAAATCCCATGCTGAATTTCCGCGCCATAAAAATTTCTAGACAGCAGAGACAGTCACAAAACAAGTTTTTGGTTTTATACTTTATTCACAAAACTAATGTGGCCAGGCGTATGCAGGAAGTATCACGAATCTTCACATTGTTTTTAATAGCCCAAAAAATCCCTACTTAAAGCAAGCTACCCAAAAAATTCTTGCCAAAATTTTCCTATCCCAAAAAATCCCCAAAACAAAAATTTCAAACCCCCCAAAAATCCCTCTTTTATCCCTGTTACTTGAAATCTGGAGTACGGTCTGTACCCTCCCTTGGCTAGCCTGCAAACAGCAGACGCATTTACAACCGCAAAATGCGTCTGCTGTTTGCAGGCTAGCCAAGGGAGGGTACAGACCGTACTCCAGATTTCAAGTAACAGGGATAAAAGAGGGATTTTTGGGGGGTTTGAAATTTTTGTTTTGGGGATTTTTTGGGATAGGAAAATTTTGGCAAGAATTTTTTGGGTAGCTTGCTTTAAGTAGGGATTTTTTGGGCTATTAAAAACAATGTGAAGATTCGTGATACTTCCTGCATACGCCTGGCCAAGGGGTAGCCTGCAAACAGCAGACGCATTTTGCGGTTGTAAATGCGTCTGCTGTTCGCAGGCTACCCCTTGGCCTATCACAGCCACTTTCTATATATCTGCCTTAGTGCATCACGCCGGTAAAGTGTTGAAAACCTTGAGATTTCACTGTATACCTAAGGTCGACAATTAAATCTACTTCAAACCAAGGCAATGTTTAAAATTGCTTGAGATTTATAAAGAAACATTTTATGCTTTTAGAAGAACTAAATTACTATATTTACTATACACACACTGAGACATTCATCATTTTGGCAGCCTTTTTATTTTAAATCTTTCCAAAGTGGCAAAGTTTTCCTCTACATACCTACACGAGGGTGAGGATATGAGGTATTCCACTGAATTACAAGTTATGTTAACTTTTTGTTCTGAATGCACAATTGAAATAAATGAATTTAAGTAAAATGCCCAATTTGAATATTTAACAATTGATTCCACAAGTGTGTGTGAGTGGAATAATAATTATTTTATAAAAAATGCCCACAAAATATTGAGAATTCTTCCCAACTTAATTTGTCAAAACAAGTGATTTTCAGCTTGTTTTTTTTAGCAGACGCATATAGTACCGTATTTAATAGGAGAGCATGGTATGGTCACTTGCATGTATGGCTTGATCATAATTACTGGTATACCATGATCACTAAGCCAATCAGAGTACCAGATTTGTTTATTCAATTAGTAATTTGGGTATACACACTCAGCTAGTGCTCTTGGTGATTCAAGCAATCTGATTGGTTTGCTATCTTGGTCTATGAGGTGAATACCATGCACTCTAGGTGGTGAATATAAAGCAAAACAAAATTGGTGTCATAAACTGGCATGGGTTCTTCCAAAGTTTCAGTGTAAGAACTTTTTGAAATTCAAGAATGTCTTAGTGTTGATCAATGATTCCGAATGTAAGAAAAGACTTCATGGTGTTTGAACAGCGTGATTTTATTGTGAAGTGATTTACTGCACTGACTTTTTATATGCTCGAAGCAATGTTTGCCAATTTAACTAACGAGGCTGCTTTGTCACTGTTTTGTGAACTCGGGCTTTCCTCAAAAGACTAATTTTGCCTTCTATAAATACACTGTGAAAGTATTAAAATTTATGCAGAAAAAAAGGGAGGCAAATGAAATATTTTCAAAAATTGTACGTGGCAGCAAGTTAACAAGTCAAAAGAACACTGCAGATAAACAAGATTCACCTTGATCATGGCTGCTGTTGACAATAAAAAAAACTGCATTTCTTTTCAGAAGGAATAGTAATTTAAATTTCTGAAGTTTTCTTTTAAACCATTTTGATTTATACAAGATATTAAAAAAAGATTAACACCATGTTTGAAGATTAGCTGTTAAGATCTAACTTTTGCACATCTACTGTTTACGGCTACATGTTCATGCAAGAATTCACCTGTCAATCAAGCCAATCAGTTTTTTTTAATGGTTTCCTTTCTGATTCTGCTGAGAGATCAGTTCTTGGGCGTACAGTATTTTTCTAAAACAATATTATTCACCTCAGGTTCAGTTAGTGTTGTTGAATAATCCCCTTGACTTCATCTCAGAGATTATTCAACAAAACTAACTTTGTTTTGGGGTGGAATAATTGTTACATTATTGGAAGACAAAGTACATGTAGCTGCATTAAAAAACACAACTTTTAAGTTAAAAGCTTACGATGTTCTGTTTTTCCCCTTCTGCTGTTGTTTAGCTGGCTCTCTACAATTCTGTTCATCAATTTCCAAGATGTTTTATTTTTTCACTTTTTTACAAGAAAACCTTTTTTGTTGACTGTCTGCAAAGCAAGGTGCTGCAAGCTGCAAGCGGCTATAAAAGGCAGGAATGTTGGCACCAAACTCACACAGTTCTGAACATTTATAACTTGCTACTCAGTGTTTCATGCCTCTTGCGAAACAATCGTCAGGCAACTGCCAAAAGTAAAGTTTACACTGTATGATCAAAGATACATATATATAGGGAAAACAGAACAAAAAGTACTTTTAAGTATTTGTTTTTTAAAAAACACTAGTATGTTGACTGTAAGTAGTTATGGCAACTTTTTTGTTACAGATCCTTAAAGTATATGAGAATTAAAGTATATGAGAATCTCCAAAGAGGAAAGAAGAATGTTGCTTACGGCAAGTCACAGACCCAATGGTGATTAGAGTCTTTTTGCAAGTCATTTTTTTGTGTTAAATTGCTTCTACACCTGTACTTTGATAATGTTGTTCAACACAATAAGCTGCATTCAGTTTTAAAACTTTTTTTTTCTGTTTGCAGGCCAGTATTTCTGTTGGAATGGATGCCACAAACTTGTTTGATACTGATAATGTCAAGATTCTCTTGAAGGAAGGTGAGATTTTTGGCTGATCTTTCATCAGAGGCTTTGCAGGCTTTTAGCCAGACATTGAAAAGTGGCTGTCCAGAAGGAATGTTTTCCCATAAAATTATAAGAGATTAAGTGAATTTTTCCTTGTAATTCTTCCAAAAATGGGCATTCATAGGACGGCTGGACACCCTCCTGGCTAAAACCTTGCAGAGACATCACTGTAAATGCCTGAAATAGTGCCAGTTTTAAATACATACAAGGTTAGCACCCCCTTGCTATAATCTTGAAACATTACATTGTATACTTATCGGTATGTGTGCCCTTTGTATAAATGCTCTCTGCCCCACCCCTCTAAACACAGTATTGACACAGTCACAAGAGAATGACCCATTTGAGAAAATGAGCATGTTGGGCGGTGCAAAACATACATCTCTTTAGTACACAGTAGTGCTTGAGGATGGCAGCATAACTTATTGATGACATGTAGATGTTACAAATTAATTATTAGTTTATGTACCAGACACACCCAAATTTGCTACTGTACGTAAGTTAGGTTCATAGTTTGCCTACAGGTATGATCTTACACTTTTTGTTTATTCTAGTTGAAGACATTGCACTCCTATCACATTAGTTTCCCCTATCCCTCTTGGCTAAAAAAAAGAAAACTAAATGAGCACCCCAGGCTGTAATTTGAGTATTTTGTGATAAACAGTACATCCCAAGTTTGAGCATTAACTACATCGCCATACACAAAGATTTGGAAAAATTAACACCACAGCATTGTATTAGATAAAGATAAAAAATTAGTTTGTTACGATCAGGGTTGCAACGACATTGGAGTTGTCATAGCAACAAAATGACACCATTACTTATTTCCTCCTTGGACCATCTCTACTTGGGCATCACATAGACCAAAATTTCTGCATTTCTGCATTTCCGCCTTTTAGGATCTTCCTGACCCTCCATAAAACTGCCCCTATGTATCAATGATATTTAATTATTGCTGTCTTAGGTCCATTCTGTGCTGAAGTCATCACTTAGCTCCTTTTAATACACAAACCCAAAAATTAATGCTCGTGTAGAGTTGTGAAGAACATATGAAACAAATTTATCTGGGACCCTATAATCATATTTTTTTTGGGGGGGGAGGGAGATTTTTGTAGACATACTATTAAACCTGAAAAAAAAGGGCCAATTTTGTTCAAGTTTCAATCCATATCCATACATCCATCCTGTTGAAAATATAGTGTTAAATAACTGCTCTGTACACATTTTAGCTTTACGTAAAGAAAGCAAATGGCGTGAAATACATGCAGCACCCTTAGTCGTTTGCTTTATAACAGCCACTGTGCAATTTATTGTGTGACATCCTTTCTTTGCTCTTCACAGTTATTAATTGCATTGGAGGAATTGTGATTAGAAGTCATGGATAGGATGTCTGTGAGAATGAATAGCAGTAAGTGAACATATATTTAACTAATTTTATTATGATAACACTTGCTCAGGGAAATCTTGAAATCAAGCTACGACTTGTTTGTAACTCATTTTCCTCATGAAGAGTGGAGTGAAGAAAATGACATCCTTTTAAACATTTGCATTTTTAATTAATGTTATCCTTCCAACCATTTTAAATTCCGAAAATCACGCTTCAAAATATTTAAATTCCAATTGTTATTCTTCTATACATTTGAAATCTAAATGGCATATTAGAATTCTGGCCTTATCCTTCCAAACATACTGATTTTACACCTCCAAGCTTTGGAATTCTGACCCGATCTTTCCAAACAATTTAATTCTGACTTCCAAACACTGGAATTGTGACCTTTTTTTTCAATTAATATTGGAATTCTGACCTTATTCTTCCATTTACACACTAGAATTGTGACCTTATCCTTCTAAACATTGGAATTCTGACCTTATTTCTTCCAAACACTGGAATTGTACCTTTTTTTTTTCAAATATTGGAATTCTGACCTTATTCTTCCAAACAGTTGAATTGTGACTTTTTCTTAAAATAATATTTGAATTCTGACCTTATTCTTCCAAACACTGGAATTGTGACCTACATGCAATAAGCATTGGAATGCTATCTTATCCTTCCAAACATTGAAATTCTAAAAAATGCACAGCAGAGGTCCTGACTGCTTTCTTTTATTTGTAGGTTGCTAATAGCATATGATTAAACAAAGGTCTGCAAGCTTTGAGCTTTTACAGAAAACATGTGCATGTTTTACCAACCTAATCCTATGCCATAATATCAGGCACAGAATGTGCATGATACTATTCCCTCCCTAAAGGAAATAATCTCCTGATTCATGGTCACTTCAAGTTATGAAACAAAAGGAAGTCAGTCAGTTTAGTCTGTTAACAAAAACTGTTGAAAGTTGATCTCACTGAAAGAATGAACAGTTCTCCTGCAGTGTGTTTGCCTTCTTCAGAAGAAATTTTGGTTTCAGTGTCTTTATCCGGTTCTTGTACTTTCTTGCCTTGTCCTTCAACATCTTTAAACAGTCTGACATCTGCTGTAGGCCATTTAGAATCCATTCACCATAATGGTTTGAAGATTTTTTTATGTGTACTGGTCTTTGGCTATGGTCAGTTGGCTGTTCAACTTCTGCCTCGCATTCATCCTCTGTTCTCTCCTGCCCGCACTGGGATAAGCCAGCTCTGGCACAGTTTCAAGGCGATCTTTCAACTTCTCAAATGTAGCTCGTTGTTCCTGTTGCCAACAAAACGGTACGTTCTTCTTACGCAGTATTCAGAGGGACTCTACAGTAATAAAAAATCCTATCCAAAGATGAACTATCTGTTATAGCCAGCAAGACCAAGGTAGTTTTGAAGCTCTTTTAAATTAATAGTATAGTACTGTGGCTATATTTTGTACAGCTAATCAGTCATTATTCTGTCAGATTACACAACATTTCAAGAAAAGTAACCTCTTCTAATTATTAAAGTGACGCTTAGTTAGGCTTAAGTTTCAAACCAGCAGTCCATATATATACAATCAAATACTAACCATAGGTGGTGAGTGTGTTCTTCAAAGGCGCAGATGATGATATCATCATACACCAGACTGCATGTCCAAGGCCCCAGTATTATCAATCAAGTGAAGCTAGCGGGTGCCATTTGTCAATCAGAAAGGACTTAATCCCCACTGGAATTGTCTTTGATGAGTTGAGTGTTTAGTGTTAGGCCTATCCTATTCACCAGGAAGCAAAACATACCACATTGTAATGGTGCTGCCCATTTAGGGGTGGTTTCAGCTTTTCATTCCAGCTCATGAATCTTCTCATTCTCACCAAGAATCCTTTCATTCAAACCAATGGGTAGTAGGGATGCAATTTTACGCGCTGACCACCCAATCCTTGGCCAAGCGGTAATTGTCTTGCATCTTGAGACCCGAATTGTTATGAGTCTCAGGATGCTCTCAGTTCAGGCCATGTAAAGTGCACATCCCTGCTGCATCACTCAGGTGTGTTTCTCAGAGTGATGGACCAGCAGCCCCCACCCTGCAAATCTTCCCGTTATGTACACAAAACATGGAATTCAAAAGGACGGATCCAAATGGAGACAACTTATGCCTGGCCATCAATTCTGCAATAAGGATCCAAGTCATTTAAAACTTTGTTAATCACCATCATTTAACGTTCTGATTTATGTAACTGTTGATTGTTGTATCTTCAAATTCTGAGCTGCTGTGAACCATTGATTAGCCCTTTTGGATTACTGTATAGTCCATTTACCACTCCTTTTGTGGCTATTGTTCACTTTTGCTAGTAATATGCAAAAAGAGACAGCAAGTTCCTTTACCTCGACTGAATCTCTGACAAAATTTTCCCACTCACTGGCTCTATTTTTTATAAACATTGGAATTCTTATCTTATCCTTCGAAACGTTGCATTTCTATCCCTTCCTTTATACACATTAGTATTCTTATCTTATCCATCTAAACGTTGGAATTCTGGCCCTATTTTTATACACATTGGAATTTTGACTACATTCTTCCAGAGATTGGAATTCTTATCTTATCCTTCCACTGCAAACATTGGAATTCTCATTTTATCCTTCTAAACACTGGATGTCTGGCCCTTTTCTTTCTGAACATTCAAATTCTGGACCTGTTTCGTTAAGCATTGGAATTATGAACTTATTGATCCAAACATTAGAATTCTGGCCCTATTTTGATAAACATTGGAATTCTCATCTTCTCCTTCCAAACATTGGAATTCTGGCCCTATTTGTACATGTATAAGCACTGGAATTAAGATTTTATCATCTTTTCCTTCCATACATTGGAATCCTGGCCCTATAATTTAATTATACTACACATTGGAATTTTCACCTCATCCTTTCAAATATTGAAATTCTGGCCCTATTCTTACAAACATGGGAATTTTTATGTCATCCTTCCATTGTAAACATTGAATTCTGGCTCTATCCTTCCAAACACTTTAATTCTGGCCTTGTTTTTATACACATTGGAATTCTGGCCCTATTCTTACAAACATGGGAATTTTTATCTCCTCCTTCCACTGGAAACTTTGAAATTCTGGCTCTATCCTTCAAAACATTCTCGTCCTAATTTTATAAACAGTGCAATTCTCATCTTATTCTTCCAAACACTTTCATTCTGGCCCTATTTTTATACACAATAAGTTTCTGATCTTATCCTTCAAAACCTTGCGCTTGTGGCCCTCTTTCTATAAGCATTGGTATTATGATCTTATCCTTGCGAACATTGGATTTCTGGCCCTATTTTTATACGCATAGGAATTCTTATCTTATCCTTCCAAAGATTGGTATTTCTGCCTATTTTTATAAGCATTGGAATTCTGATCTTTTTCTTGCAAACATTGGAATTCTCATCTTATCCTTCCAAACAATGGAATTCTGGCCCTATTTCTATAAGCTTTGGAACTGTGATGTTATTCGTCCAAACATTGGCATTCTGGCCCTGTTTATACACACTGGAATTTTGACCTCATCCTTCGAAACAATGGTATTCTGGCCTTATTCTTATAAACACTTGCCTGTTATCTTGTTCTTCCACTGCAATAACTGGAATTCTTGTCCTATTCTCCCAAACATTAATTTGAATTCTGCCTCTATTTTTACACACATTGGAATTTTGACGTCATCCTTCCAAACATTGCAATTCTCGCCCCATCTGTATACACATTGAAGTTCTTATCTTATCGTTCTAAACCTTGGAATTCGGGCCCTATTTTTATGAACATTAACACATTGGCATTTTGACCTCATCAATGAAAACATCATGTGCAATTCTGGCCCTATGTTGTTACACATTGGAATTTGGATCTCATCCTCTCAAACATTGGACTTCTAGCCTTATTTTTATAAACATTGGAATTCTTACCATATCCTTCCACACGTTGGAATTCTGGCGTTTTTTATAAACACTGGAATTCTCATCTAATCCATCCACAAATTGGAATTTCTGGCCCTATTTTTTACAGATTGCAATTTTCACCTCATCCTTCCGAACATTTGAATTCTGGCCCTATTCTTACAAACATTAGAATTCTTATCTTATCCTTCCATTGCAAACATTGAAATTCTGGCCTTACCCTTCCAAACAATGAATTTTTCGCCATTATTGTACACACTGGTTTTTTGATCTCATCCTTCAAAACACTCGGATTCTGGCCCTATTTCTATAAGCGTTTGATTCCAAAAGAATGGAATTCTAATCCTTTTTTATAAACATTGGAATTCTGACCTTATCCTTTCAAACATTGGAATTCTTATATTTTCCTTCTAAACATTGGAATTCTGGCCCTATTTTTATAAACATTGGAATTTTTATCCTATCCTTCCACTGCAATCATTGGAATTCTAGACTTATCCTTCCAGCCATTGGAATTCTGGCCCAGTTTTAATACACATTGGAATGTTGACGTCATTCCTCCAAACATTGCTATTCTAGCCCTATCTTTATACAAATTGAAATTCTCATCTTATCCTTCTAAACGTTAAAAAATTCGGACCCTATTTTTATACACATTGGAATTTTGACCTCAGCCTTCCAATGATTGGCCCTATTTGTATAAAGATTGGAAATGTCATCTTATCCTTCCCAAGACTGGATTTCTGGCGCTATTTTAATGCACATTGGTTTTCTCATCTTTTCCTTCAAAACAATGGGATTCTGGCTCTTTCTATAAGCACTGGAATCATGATCTTGGGTTTCTCATCTTATGCTTGCAAACATTGGAATTCTGGCACTATCTGAAGTAGTCAACGTAAGTGGCCAAGGCTTGCATTTCCAATCTGGTGTTGCAATGGTTCTTTTCTTGTTCATTTAAGGAGCGATTACCATAAGCAATCACCCACTTGGTCCTGTCCTGTTGCTGCCGAGAAAGAACTGCCCTTATCGCTAGTAATTGGCTTTCTTTGGTATCATGTGTGAAAG